GAAGCGCTATGAAAGTCGAGACTGTCACTGCTTGGCTGCCGTAGTTGCGGGATTCGGGGTTAAGGGTCGTCCGTGCGTTTGGGCTCCTTTACGGGTTCTTGCAGGGCTGCAGTGTGCCCATGTAGATGTGATCGCACATGTGCGCTCGTAGTCATACATGCGGTCTGCAATGTCTACAATCGTAGCAGTCGGAAAAGCATCGTAATGTCAGTGACAGTACGAGGAAGAGCACAAGCAATGGGGAACGACGGTTTTACAGTTGAGGGTAGAGTAACATCATGGCAGCAGTACGTACAACTAGTCTCTAGACTCGGGCTGAGGAGCAGTTATTGAAATGCTGGCAGCAACAACAAGCGTGATGACACCGGGTTTGTCAAGCACAACAGCAACCGGCCGTGCTGCTGATTAAAATCTTGATCGTGACGATGACATTGAAGATGCCGATGAAGATGAGACTGATGACGGTCCTGGCCATGTTGCCAGCATGACCCACAGCAAGCAATGGCAGTTGAACGAACCGGAGTCTTCGCAGCTGGCATAGAAGCCGTGACAATATAGCAGCGAGAGCAGTAGGAGTAGCAAGCAGACTCATCGTAGAAGAGCACCTGCAGCATGACAACAACATCGGCCATCTTGATACTATAGGGGCCTAAATACTTACCACCACTATTGTGGGGGTTCCATTAACAAAAAGTATAATGGGACCCAAAACCTTATTCTGATTATTAAGGCCCACCTTTTAAATAAATACCCCTATACGTGCCCTTATAGACCCCTTTGAAGGAGCCCTATTCTAGTTATTGTAGGGTTCTTGTTTAGGCTGGTGAACTATACTCTACCTGAACTCAGGCCAGTGTTTGGAAGCCTTCCGGCGTAAGGGAGTTAGGGTTTAGGGTTTAGGGTTTGGGGTTTGGGGTTTAGGGTTTGGGGCTAAACCCTAAACCCCTAAACCCTAAACCCTAAACCCTAAACCCTTAGGGTTTAGGGTTTAGGGTTTGGGGAAGTGGGAGCCCTGAGTCCCTAAACCCGCAACCCTACAGCCTGAATCTGGGTTTTTTTTTTCTTAAATTTCCCCAAGTATTTTGTAGAGAACCATCATAGTAAGTAATTTTCAAAGGGCTTAAAGGACAACTCCGGAGTTTGCTTGATTCCGAAACTCAAATCGGGGCAGCAGGAGAGCGCGAGCGAGTATCAGGCTCATGTCGCATCATTTCAGACAAGAGTGCTGCCTCTAGTGTGGGGCAATAAAACTTGGAACAGGGATTTGGGGTATAAATGCTATAGCATATCTACGCAGTGACTTTTAGGACCCTACTATGTGTGCCAGGTCCACTTAGATCCGTGCCGACATGGCACGGCCCCTACACTCCAAGCCGAAGAAACGCAACAGAAAGGACAGCGGCGCAAGCTGAGATTCGTCGACTCCGTGACGAGCTGAAGGCACAGAGCGGAGGGTGAGGTCGAGTGAGGCCAGGGGGACTTAGGATGGCCCTGCAAGCCCCAACCCCGAAACCCCAAACCCTCAACCCCAAAACCCTAAGCCCTAGCACTGTAAGGTCTAGGGAGTTCAACCCATAATTCAGTCTCGCCAGTCCTAATTAAGCTTTCAGTCTCGCCAGTCCTAGCAGGACAAGCTCGACAGTGATTCTGGATAAGTTGGAGTTTAGGCTTCAGGATTTGGGGTGCAGGGTTTAGGGAAGTTCAAGTTTAGGTGTTAGGGTTTGGGCTTTGGGTTTTGACAAGTCGAGAGATCCCCTCATCTAGGTGACTGGGGCCCGAAGCAGTGCAAGGGCATCCAAGTTTCAAGGTCTAGCAGGGTTCAGGGTTTAGGGTTTTGGGGTTCGGGTTTAGGGTGTAGCGCTTAGGGTTAAGGATCTACGGTATCAGAAGGACCCGACTTCTCAGAAGTGCGGATTTTGTAATGAAGCCCGCAATAAGTTGCAAAGTTCTGCGGAAGACCCTCTACACCCGAAGCCCTAAAACTACAAGACCCCCTTTGCAGGGCTTTGCAGGGCCCGCAAGCGAACCTTGGATCCCCCAAAACGTGAAAATTGAACTCCGAGCCTAAGCTCCAAAGTCCTAAGATCCAAGCCGGTAGTCCTAAACACTGCGCTCGTGGACCCTCAACCCTGAAACTTTGAACCCTGGCTGCCTAAACCCGAACCCCCCCAAATCCCCATCGTCATCTTCTGGCACACATCTCCAGCCTGCGATCCACAGATGAACCCCGACCTTTTAAGGCTAAATCCAGTAGCCTTTCAAGTTTTGTCGTGAGGATGTAGCTGTTCATGTTTTTTATATCAAGGATGGGTTTGGGGGTTTCGGCTTCAGGATCTAATGCTCCGGGTTTGGGAGTTGCTGCTTCGATTGGGTTTGTGGTGTAGGTTTCGGAAAATTGAACTCCCCCGACCCTCTAACATGAAGCCCTAAACCCTGAACCCTGAACCCGAAGCCCTGAGCCCTAAACCCCGAAAGCCCCAACCAGGAAGCCAAGCGAGCAGACAAGGAGCTTCACCCACGGGGTGGGGGCCTCGGCGACGAGGATTGAGCCCGTTGTGGCGCTTGTTGGGGGGGGGGGGGGGGGGGGGGTTTGGGGGTTTAGGGTTTGGACTCTGCTGCTGCTGCTGCTGCTGCTGCTGCTGCTGCTGCGGAAGTGATCGTCATCGCTATTGCTAATGTGGTTGTCGTTGTAATTTTCATTATCATGAATGAAGTGATCGTTATGACTATTTTGTTCACCATGACTGATTGGGATCATTTTGATGGCAATGAGTATCGTGATTGTCGTGGCTATCATAGTTTTGATCTTTATGGTTATCATCTTATGACTAGTATTCGTCGTCGTCCTGGTACTAGTAGGAGCAATAGTGGCAGTAGCAGGTGTGACCAGTCGCTGTAGCAGCCGTGGCAGCAGCAGTAGCTCTAGCAGTAGCAGTCGCAGTCGCATTGGCAGTAGCAGTAGCCAGTAGCCAGAAGCAGTACGTAGCAGGAGCAGGAACGTGAGCAGGAGCAGGCGCAGGCCAGGCGCAGGAGCAGCTGCTGCTGTTGTTGGTGTTTGTTGTTGTTGTTGTGGTGGTGGTGGTGGTTGTTGTAGCTGCTCATTCGGCAGCAAACTTTTGCAAGAATCAAATCCGCGTAATTTATTGCAGTCTGATGGCTTGTAGCTGTTTGCATGAAGGTCTGTTAGACCTTATTGCTTTATTCCTCCAGATGTGTCGTTGTTGAACCAGCGGCGAGTGAGCTGTCAAGCAACTGCGTGCGCTGTATGCACGAGCTGATGGAACCAGCAACTGAACCAGCCACGACACCCGCCCCAGGCCCCTAAAGCCTAAATGGGAGTTTCCGAAAATTAGCGGTACCGTATGTTGGGGTCCTTAAAATAAGCATCCTACTATTTTAGGGTACTATATTAGGGTCCCCTATTTTCGGAAACTCCCAAATTGTGCATCCCAAAATCTAGACCCTTAACCCCAGCTCTGCTTCCCAAAGGCCTCAAAAGTTCAAGAACATCTCAGAGAACCGGAAATGAGTGGCCCCCAAACCGGGCAAAAAATAGCACTTCAAGAACCAAGGACAGACCTGATCATAGAAGCCTGAACCTTATTGAGGCCTTTTACCAAACCCTATAGAACCCCCCACCCCCAAACCTTACAAACCCCTACAGAAACCTATGAAGCCTCTTGTTTTAAACCTGCAAGCCTGCGTTTCCAGAGACTCCGAAGCCCCTTCATCAGGAAACTCCTTTAGATTATGCAAGGGGCCTAAACACGATTTGAGATATATTCCTTCATCAGCGGCTTTTGTGGAGTTTCTGGGTTCGTTTGAACCCTAAACCCTAAACCCCTAACCCTTAACTTTAAACCCCAATCCCTAAACCCTGTAGATCCCTTTAAAGGGCACCTTTGTAGATCGCTTTAAACGGCCCCTTAATAGGTCCCTTTACAAGGCGCCTTAATAGATCCCTTTACAGGACCGCTGAATAGACCCCTTTAAAGGGCCGCTTAATAGATCCCTTTAAAGGGTCCCTTCATAGATCCTTTAATTATTAGCGGACATCAGTCGGTCGTTTGCATGAAGCACTCATTGGTGCATGTGAAAAATGAACAGAAACAAGCAAGAACCTAGAATTTGTCAAGAAAAACAGTCAAGTCATTCACCGGCCCAGCGAGCGCAGTGCGCCAAGATGCAATGACAGAAGTATCACAAGCCACGACGCGCTTACAGCGTCTATGAATCTTAGCAGGATACTTGAGGAAATCAATGGAAACCCTGCAGAAGTGGCAGGCGGGGACATCATCGGCCCAAGCAGGGGCAACAAAGTGGCAAAGCTTCTGCGGCGAACAGTCAAGGAAATGAGGGTTAGTGTCTAGACTTCCACGCAATTTTCCAAAGAAAGGCTTTCTTGGATTTGATCTGCAACTTAGCCGTGGCGGCGGGAGCAAAGAAGGCTCGGATTGTGTTGACATCTTGCCGTTTCCAAAAAGCAAGAGTTCTCTCAAAAACACTACAAAGCGTAGTTTCCTTACCAATGTTCAAGGCAGTCTCTTCCCAAGGTAGGTGCCTGCGCTTGCGGCGACTGCATCTAATCCGTTTGCTAGTGAGAGGGTCAAGGGAAATGACATTTTGATGCTGGTCAACCAATTGCAGGAAATCTTGCGTGTTAAGCAAATGATTCTTGAACTTCAGTATTCTTTTTGCAGCAAGTTCAACATGCTTGCGCACTAGTTTGACACAAGTAGCCGTGATGCTCCATTGCAACGGGAGTCCAAAAGTGTCACAGAAAAACGCGAGACACAGGCATTTTCTTACACCACAAATTTCCGTCCCAGGGTCAATGTTAAAGTCCGCAAAACCGAAATCATCCGGGAGGGCATTACAGAGAAGGTCTAGGGAGAGAACTCGGAACTTCCACAGTGCAGCACCTACATTGGGGCATCTACCACAGAAACGGCTCAATTGCCTCAATAGATCCTTTAAAGGGAATCCCAAGTTGCCAAGGCATGGAAGGTGCCGTGGTGCCTCTGCGCCACCGGGCCGCGGCTGCGCGCCGCGCCGGGGAGGTCTCGATTTTTCACTGGCAGAGGGCAGTCTCCGGTTCCTTCAGAGGTATCTAGAAGGGGTCCTTTAAAGTGAGTTAGGGTTTAAGGTTTCGCGTTTAGGGTTAAGGTTTTAGGGCTTAGGGTGTAGGGTTCAGGGTTTAGGGTGAGGTTCATGGGTAGTTTTAAGCGCGCCTTAAGGGTTGAGGGGTTTACGGGTTTAGGGTAGTTAGAAGTGGGGATACAAGACGATTAACTAATAGAAACAAAAACTATAGCTATCCTACTTATAAACCCTACTGAAGAGGGCCCTCTCAGGGTGTGATACTCAAAGGATCATGGGACTTAGTAACTACGGTTATTGTGGGGCCAATATGATGAGGGTAACTATACATATAGTTATTTCTAAAACAAATTAAGGTACTGTACAAACAAGTCCCATGATCCTTCAAGTTGGGATGTTGCAAGAGTTGAATAAGGGGCGTTTCAGGGTATTGTAAGGTTTTTGGAAAGGTTACGGAAATCACATGTTCTGACAAAATGCAAAGATCGTACGAAGCAAGCAAGAAAGGGGCACCCTCAACCCTCAGTCGTAATAGGTGTGCGAGTCGTTGGGGAAACGACTTGTCGGCGGATGCTCTGCGAACATGGATGTCATAAGGGGTTCGGGGTTCGATGTGTGCTCTTCATGTCGGAGGCAGTGAAGGCCGCAACGCTGCAAATACCACATCATGTTGCATTCGTTGGCCGAAGCCTTACAGATATTACCATCATCTTATTCATCGCAATTCGTCGTGGTCACCATCAGCATCCCAACAATCATCATCCCCACGCACGTTGTCTTCCATCCAATGCTCACAATCGCATCCAACCATGCCCAGATCAAAGAGATCGTCGAAACCATTGCCAGGCTGGGCATCAGGGGCACGAGGTTAGGGTTTCAGGCTTTGGGGTTAAGGGTTTAAGGTTTGGTAGCCATATAGGAGATGTTGGATTTGAGGGTCTCTACAGGTACTGCTTCAAGTCTTTCAGATCCGCCTACATTGGCAGCCAGGCCCCTTGGAGTATGAGTTAGGGTGTTTGCAACTCACAATTGCGGTGCTGTTCCGTTGACTTACGAATGTGTTATTGTGTGGTTCTTTAGTGGCTTTTCCGTTTGACGAATGTGTATTATAGCTGGAATGTGCATATTTATGTTTTTTACATTGCCAAGTACCTTGCTCTACTGCTTTGTTGTCGCAAGTTTGAAGTGCAATCGTTTCATGTTCATCAAATCTGTTATCTCCTGCTCGATTAGCCATCCGTTTCAGGAGCACAGTATTGCAATATAGCATTGGTATGCCCTGTTGCCTGTTCTTGACCCGTAGATTCAGAGCCTGGTAGTCCTTTATTGCTGCATTTACTTGTCGACGTGCTTTGCCACGATTTTCACGTGGTTCTGGCCAGTTCGGCCCCCTTAACTTCTGCAAGCTGCTACAGTGGACATGCCCATTGCTGGCTTGAAGATGCAGGCTGACTTGGCATCAAGAAGATCCGAATCCTGGAAGCTTTTGCAGGGGAGTTCCAAGAGCAATATTCTCGTCCCTTTGCTCGTTCTAGTCCTCGTTTATTTGCAGAACTGAATGCAGCCACCCCCACGACACACGCTGCCCGGCTGGATCGTTGGCATCCTTTGCAACCCGCCCTGTGAGCCTCAAGCAACTCGCTCTATACCCCTGAGATGGAACCATAAACCCCAAACTGCTGTGAACACTAAACGAGCTGTATACTCGTTCTGCGGGCAGGCTAGAAGACCGCTTGCGGGCAGCTACTTGACTGCGAGCATACGCTTAAGTGTCCAGAGACTCCCAGCAAGGCTGTTTGCATGTATGCATTTATGTGTGTATATTTTTCAGACATACATACATGTTGTACATATGGGCAAAGACTCCCACCGATACAGGAAGGGTATATGGTAGAGTTCAGTATGCCTTGATTGGGGTCCCTTGTTAACGGGTTGTCGAAGGCATTTATGGGGTGTTGTTAGAGGTGATCACACCCTGACCTAAGATCCCTCTACAACACGGAATGTTTCCTAATTGCGGGATTTCGGAGTCCCTACACCTTTCACCCTGAACCCTAAAACCTTAAGCCTTAAACCCTACACACTAAAACCCTACGCTCTAAACCCTAAACCCTGCAACCTGAACCCTAAATCCTTGAACCCTAAGCCCCCACAAAAGACCCTAGACCCAAAAGCGTTGGACGGTTGAGTCCGTCCCATCCTATAAGGTAATCCCAAAAAGGAACCCTAAACCCCAAAGCCCACAACCTACAACGTAAACCCTAAACCCTTAAACCCTTAAACCCTTAAACCCCTAAACCCTTAAACCCTTAAACCCTTAAACCCTTAAACCCCTAAACCCTAAACCCTAAACCCCCCAAAGCCCAAAGCCTACTTTCAAGGGCCCTAAAAGCTAGTTCGAGCCTCGGCTCTACGCGCTCCGCGCTTGGAGGGTCATGGGACTTAGTTTAGGGCTCCTTTTAAGAGTACGATAGGGCTCTATATTAAGGCTCCTTAAAGGGATCCATAATTCCCTTTAAGAGTACTATAGGGTTCTATAGTAATTAGGGTTCCTTAACGGGATCCATAAGGGTTCTAGAATGGGGATCATGGGACTTGGTAAGTATGGGTATAAGTACCTTATTACAAGTGTATCTACCCTAAGAATACTCGAGTGACTAAGTCCCATGCTCCTTTAGGTAAGGGTTTTGAAGACTGTACATGCAGCAGCCAGATACAAACCACCTCGAAGTTATTGAAGAACCTTGATCAACAAGCAGAACAAGCATAATTCCCTAAGCCCTAGACCCTAAGCCCTAAACCTTAAGTTATAGTAAGACTACCTGGTTCGATACAGGATCGTTTGGCTTCGGGTTTTAGGGTTTGGGGGACGCTCAGGGTCTAGGCTTAGGTGTTCAGGGGTTAGTTCGGGGTTAAGGTAGGGTTGGGAAGTCAGGGGCTGACTGGGGTTTAGGGTTTAGGGTTTAGGGCGTTAGAGTTCAGGGTTTAAGGCTTGCTGGTTCTATTGGGGCTATAAGAATTTCTGAGTATGGTTAACCCAATAAAGAGCCTGCATTACGAAGTCCCATGATCTTTTGTTCATCTCGCTTATGTTTGCTATTCTGGTTATTACAATTACTGTTTCTCATCACTGTTGCTGTTTCAAGTACTATTACGATTCGATGAGTATGCACATTGTCGTTTTCATTGTGATTGCATGTGTTGGCATTCTTCTATGTTATGGTTATTGTTATCATTACGATTATTATGGTCATTGTTGTCATTTACTGTTATTTTTATCATTATTTTACTATGTTCATTATTTACTGCATCGAAAAAGGTGGAGGACGCTAAGCCTGCTGAAGAGTTTGTCGAGCCCTTGAGAGCCCTGGTGGGGTCCTCGGCGTGCGTTGGTCTAGGTTACGTAGGCTTCTGGTTTAGGGTTTATGGTGTTGGCTTTTGTATGTTTCGGGCTTGGGGTTTAGGCTTCTGTATGCTTTGTGTTGCGGTGTAGGTTTTTTTTTGTACGTTTCAGGGTGGTTTGGGGTTCAAGGCTTGGGATTGCTGTAGGCTTTGTCAAGTCAAGTGCTGTGCAGGATGTTGTAGGTTCAATCGGCTGTATCGGAGCACACACGGTTTTCATCGGGTTTTCTAAAGGAGTTGAGCAAATTAGTCTGAGTTGCCATGGTAGGAACATATGCCGCACGAACACATGTACATACTTGCAAAAGTAAATCAAGAATACACAGCTGAAGTGACGTTACTCAGCCAGAACACAAGTGTCGGTTTTTATGGAAAGATTTGGGGCTAGATTTTTTGCGGTGTAGGCTTTACGGTTCAGTTCTGCGAGAATTTGGGCTTCAGGGGCCAGGAACAGAGGGCAGGATTTAGTGAGTTCCGTTTCAGGCTTTTGGAATCAACTTAGGGGTAAGTAGAAATAATTTTCAAAATTTGGTTACTAAAATCCCTAAGAGACAGCTAAAATTATAATTTTTGCTAGGGTTCTAAGTTCAGTATAGGCAGGATTTAGTGAGTTCCGTTTCAGGGTTTGGGAAGAATCGGATCCCGGAAACCTAAAGACTGCTTGGAAGGGCAGGTGACTTAGTAAGGGTTCTTAAAGGGCTCCTTAAAGGGATCTCTAGGGTTCCTGAAAGGGATCTATGGGGGTTTAGGGTTTAGGATCTACTTAGAGGGGCAGGGGACTTAGTAAGTATGGTTATAAGTAGACTTATAAGTACCCTGAATGGAGTTACGCCAACTATAACCCTACTTATAACCCTACTTACTAAGTCTCCTGCCCCTCTAAGTGTTTTCGCCAGCAGACCGTGCCCCGAGGATGCTTGGTCATAATGCAGGAACCCTACTCTTAGGTTCCTTTATAGGGGTCCATAAGGGCTACTATAGGGGATCTATAAGGGTACTATACTTTTCAGGGTTTTGGGGGTTTAATGTAGGAACCTGATTAAGAAACCTTGGGCCTTAATTCGGGGTTCCTTATATGAATCCTGCTATGTTTGGGGTTATAGGGCCAGGGTTTCTTAATCAGGTTCCTACATTATGCCTTCAGGGTTTTGGGTTTGTCCTTAGGATTCAGAGGCCTAAATGGTTACCAATACTATTTTGGGGGTTCGTTATTATGATTAGAGTATATAAGGGTTCTATAAAGGGTTCAGGGTTTAGGGTTTCTGAAAATTCTGGGTACCTTATTTTGAGGTCCTTATAATAAGGATCCTCGTATGTAGGGTACTAACTACAATAGGGTCCCCTTTTTCGGAAACTCCGATGTCGACCCAGCTTAGGACTAGTAAGGTCCTTTTCACGCTCCTGTTATAGGATCCTTAAGGGAGGGTGGTTCAAGGGGGGAGGGTATAAGGAATCCTTAGGGGACTGTAAGGGAACCTTAGGGAGTACTAGGGAGGATTAGGGATCACTAGGCTATATACCCCCCTTGGACACCCCTCCCTTAAGGATACTACAATCCTGCTCGTCTGAACCCCGGGGGCATTTAGGATAGATAGGCAAGGGCAGCCACTTAGATCCACGGGGAGTCCCAGTACAGGAAGACATCGCCGACTTTTCCCTAGACCAGAATTACACCCAAATGCACGAGGCCTATTGCCCGAGCTGTTTTCATGTATCCCAAGTCCCAAATGCAACGCTTATAACTCTGAGGACTCTTTGTTTAGGCCTATGGCTGTTAGTTCCAGATCCGAAGCCTCGTCTAGACCCCATGGCAGACCCGAAACGCTCAACCCTAAACCGTGAGCCCTAAACCGTATGCCCGAAGATTCAAAGCCCAAAGCAACCCCAAACCCTGAACTAATGGCCCTAATCCCTCGGCCGGGAAGACAAGCGCAAAACCCAAAACCCTAAACTTCTCCCCAAGCCCCAAAACCCTAAACCCCCAACCCTAAACCCCAAACCCTAAACCCCAAACCCTAAACCCTAAACCCCAAACCCTCTCTCCTTGAAATCTGGAAGCAGAGCTGGAACCCTATACCCTAAACCCTACACCCCAAACCGCAAACCCTAAACCCTAAACCCTATATCCCAAACCCCAAACCCTAGACCCTAAACTTGAGCACGGTTCCGAGGATCGGCAGCTCCAAGAATGTGAGAGGCAAGCTGGGAGCTGGAGAGTTTCGTTTTTGAATGTAGGGCTTTAGGGTTTAGGTTTTAGGGTTTAGGGTGTAGGGCTTTAGGTTTTAGGGTTTAGGGTTTAGGGTTTAGGGCTTTAGGGTTTAGGGTTTTAGGGTTTTGGGGTTTTGGGGTTTAGGGTCTCTCGGAGACTTAGCGACCATATAAGTCAGGAACTACCCTTAAATTCTTTCAAGGGTCAGATTCGGTTTTCAAAGAATATACCTTGAGATTATGTTCGGGTTCCTATCATGGTGTAGGGGATATGCTTGAGCATATGCTTGAGCTTAAAGGACACTCACGCGGCGCTACCCCTTTGAAGGTACCAGGGTGTGCGGCGCTACCCCTTTGCAGGTACCAGGGTGCACAGTGCGGGGTTTGGGGTTTAGGAGTTTGGGTTTAGGACTTAAGATTCATGATGTTTGGGTTATTTGGGGTTAGGATTTTAGCGCGTAGTGTCTCGGGTTGGGGGTTTAGCGTTTTGGGATCTATTTTACAGCAAAAATAGCTATAGCCTATATTAGCAGTCTTTTAACCCCACTTACAACTACCCTAGACTCCTAAACCCTAAGCCCCTAAGCCCCTAAACCGTTAAGGCCGTGAAGGCCCACTTATAACTACAAGAAACTCCAAGTCCTTACCTTTGGTTAGTAGGGACTGGAAGAATGGTAGTAATAGTAGTTATAATTGTACCCCATTCCTGCATTCCCTACTAACCCAAGGTAAACTGATAACTGCATGAAACTCCAGGTAGGAGAAGTATGGTTATAAGTACTTTAATTGGGGTTATAAGGTATTTGTAAGTCTGGTTATCTTAGTAATAACCCTAGTTACTAAGTCCCATGATCCTTGAAGTAGACCTTAAACCCCACTTATAGAACCCTCAAAGACTCCTTCAAAGGGACCCCTTTAAAGGGACCCTAGTTACTAAGTCCCATGATCCTTTAAGTAGGGTTGGTTCTGGGGTTGCGGTTTGGAGTCCTTAACCTTGCGCCAATGAGCCCAGGCAGAGACGCCAGAACCCTTTAGGAATATACCTTAAATCATATTAGGGATCCTATAATTCTTTAAATTAAGGAATATACTTATAACTCATGAAATTGCAATAAGCTTTCTAACAAGATTCAAGTTTTGCGGTCTATTCCTTAATTAACTAAGGGTTTGGGGTCTGAAGTCCCTGGTGGTTTGGGTGGGACTGCGACTGCTGGTCACGCGGGTGTGAGGAGTACTTAAAGGATCATGGGACTTAGTAACTAGAGTTATTATTAAGGTAACTATGCTTATAATGACTTATAACCCCACTTAGGGTACTTATAACCATACTTACTAAGTCCCATGATCCTCCAAGTAGTGTCCCCCTGATTCGACACCACAAGGCGCGTGTGCACTCCTGCGTGCCCTAAATAAAGCCTACGCCCTAAACCCCGCCGAAGACAAGGGGATTTAGCAAGTGGGGTTATAAGTAGGGTTATAAGTGGGGTAAGTCTATTTAGGGGTACGTATAACTCTACTTATAACCATACTTACTAAGCCCCCTGCCCCTCCAAGTAAACCTTCCAGTTGGCAAGGAAGAAGCGCCTTGGAACCTTTTAAGATGTCACGATTTTGTCCCTCAGTCTTACCCGGATTACTATCGGGGCCTAAAGAATTACCTATAAGATTTGGGGGTTCTTATGAAAAATTCAGTATAATGGCACCCAAAACCCGATGAAGGCCCGTATATTACTAGGTTATGTACCTCACTTGGACACACCCCAAAGCCCTCAACCCTACACTCCTAAGCTTGAATCTTAAACCATAAACCCTAAACCCCAATGCTCTATACAGTTTCTCTAACCCCAAACCCTTTGGCGAACGAAGGCGCCTGGCCTTGCTGCCGAAACCGGCCAAGGGAGTTAAGAGGCCATAGGGAACCGAAGGATTTAGGGGTTTTGGCGGTTTAGGGGTTTAGGGGTTTAGTCAGGGTTAGGCTCGGGGGGTTGAGGGGTTTAACTAGGGGTTTGGGGTTTTGGGGGGTTGAGGGTTTTGAGGTTTAGACGGTTTAGGCGTTTAGGGTTCTCGGGTATAGGGCGGGGTTAAGAGGTTACACGGAGGAGGCTTGAGTTTTCTCCCAGTGTTTTCTTGTTGAAGTCTACGAAAGAAAGTTTAGGGTCTGAGTTTTGGACTTTTCGGAATTGCTTCTGGTAATCCCAAAGTCAATTCCAGATCCCAACCCCGCAACCCCCAAACCTCTTCGGGTTTAGGGTTTAGGGCCTAGCAGCTTCGCAGGAAAAGCCTCTGCCTAGCTATCCTCAAGAAGTCTCGTGGGATGCTTGAAGGTTAATGCAGCTCGGTAGGTAGGCAGGCCATAAGCCGGGTGATCCTGTTGATGATATGAATCCTGCATTACCCATAGTAAGGAGTATACCATAATTCCCATAGTTTAGGGTCCTTAAGGTAATGCAGGATTTATATTATCAACCGTAGCTGCCCTACTTGGCGGGGGATCGGCACTGCAAGTGGAATGTCCCGTAAATCTCCAAGTGGTCGGATTTAGCATTGTTTCGAATCCTTCCTGCCGACCCAGTAGCCCACAAGGCCTCGCGCACATGTGCAACTTTGAAAGACCTCCTTATGGTTGATCAAGCAACCCTACATCCTACCGAAAACCCCAAACACACGGCCCTCGTCCCGAAAGCCTAAACCCTACAGAGCTGTTTTAGGAACTGTTGTAGGAAACCTACTAACTATCCATTATAGGAATCCTTATGGTAACCCTTATGGTTGCCTTGATACAATTTTCGGAATCCTTATGGTAACCCTTATGGTTGCCTTGATAGAAACCCTCAGAAACCCCTTCTGCCCTGGAGGCCCTCAGGCCCCACAGCTCGTGCAGCCGCGGCGGCGGCAGCGGGGATTCGCGCCGCAGAGGCCATGGCAAGAAGGCAGGGCAGGCCTCCGTCTTCCCAGAGACTCCAAACCTTTCTAATTAATCAAGAAGCGCCCTTAAATCATACTGGGAACCTACCGTAACTTGGGGGAGATTCCGGAATTGAGGGGTTCTGGAGTCTGGGTTGAAAAGGCGCTGAGTACAAGACACGCAAATAAAAGAGTCTTGCAGACGCACACACGCATGCATGCACACACGCACACATGAAAATTAACCTCTGGCGGTCTGTCTGTCTCTCTCTCTCTCTCTCTCTGTCTCTGTCTCTCTCTCGCTTTCCATACTTGGCGACTTGGCTAAGGCCAGCACACCGTGTGTCCTTGATCTGTGCAAACTGGCACTTCAAGCATATTTGAGCATGTCTTGTGAATGCTTCGCAGAAATGATGAAGGGAAGATAGAAGCAAGTATCCCCCGGTGCTTGTATGTATGCTTGCATGTGTGCAAACGTGTGTCTATGTATGTGCGACCACTCAAGCGCCGGACTCCCCGCCGTTTTCCGAAGCCACCAACCCTACTCGAATGACCAGGACCTTCCAAAATCCCTTCATTCAGGAACATACCTCAACTTTATATAGGATCCCGAATATGATTTAAGGTATGTTCCTTCATGAAGGGAGGTTGGAGTCTCTGGGTAGGAACCTGACTAAGAATCCTTGGAGGGTTTACGGTTTAGAATCCTTGGTCATACCTGTAGTCCCCATTGTAGTTCTTGTTTACCAGTTTTTGGGTTAGCCAAATTTGTTTTATAGGATCTTAACCATAAAGTTGGTTAACTAAAAATGGAACTGCAGTGCAGACTATAGGCATAAAGGATCCATGTCAAGAGCCCGAAAACGACACAATTTTTAAACATCAGGCTCCCATACTAAACTCTAAACTCCAAACCTTCCCGAGGCCTGCGCCCAGAGCACGGGGTGGTGCCGACGCTGCACCGCCCGCCGACAGGCTCAGCGCCTCCTGAGTAGGTAGACTAGGTAGGCTTTAACCTTTTTGGGATATCATCACACCTTTCTTTCCCCACGGTTACCTCAAACCCGAACACTAAACCCTTCCTTTGGTTCTCTCAGGATACTGGGCAACTAAGCTTCAGTGCGCTGAAAGCTTCGGGCCCTAATACGTCGGTATCGATGGTTTTGAACCTAAACCCTTAGACCCTAAACCCTAAACCCCTAACCTCTACGCCCTAGACCCTAACCCTCCTGACCTAAACAATAAGCTGGAGGCGACTGCAGCAACAATGCAACACGAGTCAAAGCGCAACACAAGCACTCAAAAGCCGGTTTGAACAATAATCTCTAAGCCTTAAGCCTCTACCTAAACAACTCTTTTTTACGGTAAAAGGTTAAACCCTTGGCCCTTGACCTCAACCTAGACTCTAAACCTGGAGCCAATTGGGAAAGCCACATCCATAAACTTGAATCCCGCAAGCTCAATTTTTGAGGATTCCCTCTGAGGGTTCCCTTGAGGGTTCCTGTAAGAGCACTACAATGGAATCATGAGAGGACTAGACTAGAGGGGTGTCGCGGGTTTTGTATCGCAACGCTTGCGATTTATGCTTCACCCTGAACCCTTCATCCTGAAGCGTTTTATCATGCATCCAAGAGTCTATAGCCACTACACCGAAGGTCCGAAACCCAACAAAGCCCGAACAGCACTCGGAACAGGTTGGTGGTGCTGGGGCGAAGCCCCAAACGCCGACGAATTGGCACAACATGATCGGCTGCTTGCAGCATCTGCGGTTTGACTGGACGCCGAAACGCCCCAGGCATCAATGCAGGATCTGGGGTTTCAATGTAGGGGTCCATAAAACACGGATCGATGTTTAGGGTAGAATCGAGATGTTTCCATGAGGCTCGAAAACTGCGCTACTTCCGAGCAGTATGGCTTCACACCAAATGTCACTTAAACTTACCCCCTGGGCCTGAACAGCCTCAACCCTAAATCCGTCCCTAAGCCCGAGGCTACACCCCGTCATCTTCTTTTCTCATCCTGCTGTCGGAGGCTGTCCAACAACGAACCCTAAACTCCGATAAAATCACGAACAGCCAGAAAGTTGCGCTCCTAAATTCTAACTTGTTAAATCGTAAACTCCTACTTACACCCCCAACCCTAAACCCTGAACCCTAAACCCTACGCCCTGAGCCCTACACTCTAAGCCCAAAACTTGCCCCAATCCCAAACTCGAAACACCACCTAGGTTCCTGAGTAGTGCCCTTTTGCCCTTTTTAGTTCAGGGTCTCCTCATTAAAACCGAAGAGTAGGTAAAAGGGTAGCCTTATTATAAAGGGGTTACTCAGAAACCTAGCCACCGCTCACGAACGGCCGCACCCGGCGTGCCAGGAAGTCTCACCCCGCGGCATTCGCTTGAAAAGAGGGGCGCAGAGTAGGGTTTCGGGTTTAAAGGGTTTAGGATTCAGGGGCTGGGGTTTAGGGGTTTAAGGGGTTTGAGGGTTTAGGGTTTAGGGGTTTAGTCACATTTAGGGTTCAGGGGCTAGGGTTTTACGGGTTTAGGGGGTTAGGGGTTTCGGGTTTGGGTTTAGAGTCTAGAGGCAATGCACTCGGCTCGACTGCACCTGCAATGTTGAAGGTCTTGTAGGGCTCATCCGAAGCGTCTATACCTCCTAACCCCTTGAACCCTATTCCCAAAGCCCCACACCCCAAACTGTGATACAGGGTGGGATTCTAGGCGAATGTGGAGGATTAAGGATCAGTAGTAGCATCCCCTTGTTTCCCCATGTACTGGTACTACAGTATGCCCCCAAAGCCCAACTCTAGTCGCCGCCCCTTTGTTACGACAGCAACCGCTTTGATCGCTTCGCACGAAATTTGCCGACTTTAGTCCACAAGGCTCTGGTAGTTTAGACCAAATAGTAATCAGAATCCTTGTTATAAGGATCCCTAATTACCCTTAGTTGTTCAATCTCTAAACCCTATACCCTGAGCCCTGAACACCCAGTCCGGAGTCCCTGAACCGTCAACCCAACGCCCTGAACCCTAAGCTTTGAACCCTGAAGCCTGAATCCTAAACCCTGGCCAGTCGCCTGGTATGGAAACGGGCAGCATCATCATCGAGCTCAAGGAGAAGAGGCCGTGGAATGACTGGTTGAAGCTAGTACTTATAGTGTTTTGAGGAACTGCGTTTCCAGGAGGCACTTTGGGAAACTTTCGAACCCCCCTTATGGTCTTATAAAGATGCCTTTTCAGAAATAAGCCTCCAAGGGGTTATGAAACATGATACTTTTGCTTTGGTTCGAAGGGGAAAAGGAGGACCCTTAATGGGGACCCCTACCCTATAATGGGCTACATAATGGGTATATAATAGCTATATTAAGGGTATAGGCGTCCATATTAAGCGTCCCTCCTTTTCCCCTTTGATTGGTTCTCTATACCCGGAATGGGTCGCCACTTCTTTGAAGTTTGGCCTTTCCGAAGCCGGAGGCCCACCAAGAAACTCTGTCACATCTCTGGGGTGTGTGCATTAGCAGAGGGACAAACTCCAAGCGAAAACCCACAACCCTCAAACCCCAAGACCCTCCACCCTAAACCCTAAACCCTCACCCCAAGACCCTACACTCTAAGAAATCGGAGCCCTGAACCTCCAGCCCTGCTCCTCCTAAGCTTTCTGCCTTCGAAAGCTCTGGTCAGGCATCCTCTCTTCTCACGCCTGGGTAACGAGGCTGGGGATTCGGATAGAGAGTAGGTCTGAACATGGGGTTTACTGAATCTTTAAATTGGGGTTTCCGGATTTGGGCTCGTTGCATCTCATGTTGGATGGAGCCCACTTGCGTGAACATCGAGAGCACCTGCGCAACTTCGGTGCGGTGACGAAGCTAAGCCCATTCTTCCTCCGCAAAGAACAGGGACAGAAGCTGTCGACATCTCCACATGTCCGTACCCGGCTGCTGGCCCTAAACCCTGATCAGTCCTGAACCCCAAACTCCGTAGCTGTAGTTGGAGGATTGTTCCCAAATTTTACTCCGATTTCCTTATAGAAACCCTTAACAAGATGACGCTTACGGTAGGCCAAAAAGTCTTCCACCCTAGACCCCAAAACGCCCAGATCCCTGAGCCGGAACAGCACCCGGAGGCCCCCAAGCAATAAATCCCTAAGCCCTAAATGGCTGAAGACTTAAACCCTGTCGTCGGAGGATTTGCTGGTGACCCAAAAGGTCTCGTCCGAGTCTCAGATCCCTGTGGGGGTTCCTGTTTGGACATTCGGGTTAGGCCCAAAGGATCTAGTGATGAGTTTGAGGGTGCGGGACTTTGCCGTCGGGTGCTTGGCGTGTCAAAAATTCGTAGAAAAGCGGCACGTCGGGTCAACAATGTAGTCAGCCTGGAGTGGGTCAACAAGCCAAGAATAATGTAGGGGCCTTAGTAAACTAGCTATGCTATTTTGGTGCGATCCTTATTATCAGAATTATAGTACAATATACCTCCCAAGCCCTATTCTAGTTATTAAGGGCCCTATGTGGCTGCTTGCTTTCCAGAGTTTCGGATATTTGAGGTCAGGCAGGATTTCGTCTGTTGCCAGTGACAGCCGACCCGGAGACCGGCAAGTGGCTGTCAGGGTTTGGGGCTACGGGGTAGGGAACAGGGTTTAGGGTTTAGCCTTGGGTTGCTTTTGCAAGTTTAGACTCAAACCGCACCAGATATGCTACAGCAGCTGCAGTCAGTCCTCGGCATCATAGGGCCTTCCTCAGGAGGGACATCGTCTTTTGTTTAATCTCGGGATCATATGGTCGTCTTCGTTGGTGTCTACCCAGGGACCATGTCTGGTTGGGAGTACTAGTGACAACATATAGAAATCAAGTCGGGGGGAGAGCTCTAACTCTCAGAGTCAGAAGCCAAGGTGAATTTACAACAGCCCTTGGAAACGCCTCTACTGTGAAGTGCAAACCGCACACCCCACATGTTGAGAAACATCTTTTATCAAGAAACTACTACAAGAGTTGCCGCAGTGACCGTAACAAAACACTTGTATTTAACGTTCAAGCCCTAGCCATACCCAAGTTAAACAGTTATGACAACAGCAATATCAGTAGGCACTCAGCAGACAGGGAACCCCAAATCCCAAACCTAAAACCCTAAAGCCCTAAGACCCTGAAGCCCTAAACCCTAAAGCCCAAACCTTAACTCTAAACCCCAACCCTAAACCACAAACCATTGCTGGAGTTTTCAACAAGAGGCTGCTCGACGCTCTCTGTGGGGTTCACGTCTCTGTGAAGTGCGCCGTGCCAGGGGAACAGCAGCAAGGTTTTTAGGGTTTAGGGTTTACGGTTTAAGTTCAGGGGTTAGGAAAGTTTGGGCGCATGCTGAAAGGGTTGTAAGGCTTCGTAAGTGGCATGCGCATAATATAGGGTTTGGAAGATTCAGCTAGACAATTCCTTAGTTTTTGTGCTTCTACCAAAGTAGATATAGGCAAACAGAAAAAAACTCATGGCTAGATATATATTATTCATACACACACATATATATATATATATATACTCACATGAGCACATACATACTTACGTACATGCATACATACCTACGTACATACATGCATGCATACATGCATACATACATGGATGCATACATACATGCACACATGCATGTATGCATGGATGTATGCATGCATATATGTATGTATGTATGTATGTTTGTATGTAGGTATGTATGTACGTGTCGGTGTATGTATGTAATGTGTGTCTAAGTCAGAAAGTAAGTATGTATGTATCGATGTATATATGTATGTATTACGGACGAATGGATGTATTCATGTATATGTACGTATTCATTACTTCATTTGTTTGTCCTGTGACTGGGGTTTAGGGTTTAGGGCCCCGCAAGGAACCGACACTTCATTGCTTCGAGTTCCAGTGCCACTACTTGATGAATAACGCAGAGTTCTGAACAGTGAGTACCAACATCCCCTTATGGTCCTTTCTTGAATACACACCCAAGCCCCAGACTAATTCAAGCTCCAGTTTTGTGTAGATGCTCTATCATAGCAAGGATCCTCGACAAGAGGCCCTACCTGTTGGAGAGCCAACCTAGACCCCTCCGATCAACGCCCCCGGTTCTTTGGCTTAAAATAGTCGCGCCGGGATTCCTGTTTCAATCCTTATCAAAGGAGGTCTTATGAAGCAGGGTTCTATATTTGGACTCTAGTTGGGCCGGTTGTAGCATTCCCACATCACCGGCCCAAGCCGTCAACGCCCGCCTAAACCTCTAAACCCCGACTCAGTGAGTTTCCGTGGGCATGGCCTTGGACTGGATGTTACGCCTGAAATCCACAGCGGCGGCTTGTGTTCAAATTGGGTACCCATCCAAGAGGTGGCTTTCAACAGCAAGGGCTTCGACCATGATTTAGCGACCCCCAAATTTCGTGAAGCTTCTTTTGGCAGAGCTGTCGCGACGCCACGGCTCCCAACAGCATGTGCCGCTCAGGGTTGAGGGCGCGCAGTAGAAGGATCGTTCAAGGCCATTCTCAAAGCCATAACCTGCCCGACATCGCCATGCCCATACGGCTTACGTCTCGAAGCCTCAGCTCAGCCCCACTCCGAAGAATAGAAGCCCATAGGCCAGTGTCCAGCCCCATCCGTATCCTCGACAGCAGGACTCAAACCCTTAACCCCAAAACCCAAAACCCTAAACCCCAAACCAAGTTCTCAACATCTATTAAGGGGCTCCCCTTGGGGCCCCACAGAAAGCGATCGAGCCAGCCAAAACCGGCATGGCGCCATGGGCACCATTGCGTCTCAAGCTGGCTGCAGCCGCCCGCCTTGTTATGGTGGGCTCGCGGTTTCGGGTTCAGGGTTTAGGGTTTAGGGTTCAGGGCTTGGGGCCAAACTTAGCGGCAAAACCCAACAAATTCTAGAATCTTAACCCTAAACCCTAAACCTCTAAACCCTAAACCCCAAACCCTAAACCCTAAACCCTAAACCTTAAACCCCAAACCGCAACCTGAAGCTTTCGACACTAAACCCGGAACCCCCTACTCCAAATCCTATATTCCCAGCCCTGCGCCCGAAACTTTCACACCTCCAACTTCAAGCCCTAAACAGGGTTTAGGGTTTAGGGTTTAGGGTTTGCCTAGACACCCCCAACTACCCTCGAACATACCCCCAAGAGCCACTATTACGGGCTTTAAGGGCTCTATTGAAGGCCTTTGCGGGGTCCTGGTAGCTTCTCTCTACTTGGAGGGACAGGGGACTTAGTAAGTGTAGGTTATAAGTAGGGTTTGAGGTAGCCCCATTTAGGGTACTTATAGCTCTACTTATAACCTACTTGCTAAGTCCCCTGCCCCTCCAAGTAAAGATTACAAGTTTCAATCCCTGGTCTGGGAAAGCCCTGCTCCTCATGCTCGACTCCTTCCTCCCGAATCGGTTTAGGGTTTAGGGTTGATGTAGGGGCCTGAATAATTATCTATACTATTTCGGGGGTTCCTGATTAACTTATTAAAACCATAGTACAATGGGCCCCAAAAACTTTATTCTAACTATTAAGGCCCCTACATTACCTCCGTTTCCACCGCAATCCAAACTATCGTGTATCTGTGTTCCGTGACTGGCCTGGGGCACTCAGGTCGACTGACGGAGGTCTAAACCAATAGCAGAAATCAATAGCAGCAATGTAACTCCAGGGGCCCTAATAATTAGAATAGGGCTTTGGGGTATACTGCACGATGCATATAATCAGGAACCCCAGAATAGTATTGGTACTTATTTAGTCCACTGCAGTACCTTTTAGCCTCCATTCTGCTATAGAATAACAGGCGCCATCATGCCATTTTTGACGGGCCTTCGGTTGATGATATAAATCCTGCCCAACCCATAAACAGGAATATACCACAATTCCCAGAATGTAGGGTCCTTCAGGTAATGCAGGATCTATATCAGCAACCGTAGGGGAGGAGGGTTCCTGTGGTTCGATGATGGAGGGCACCTCTATGCGGGTTCAGAAAGTACGCCGAAGATAAGGGGGCCCCTTTCTGCTTTTGGGTCTATGGTTTTGAAAGGGTTTAGGGGTTTAGGGTTTAGGGTTCAGGCCCTACGGGTTTAGGGTTTAGGGGTATTGGTTTGGGGATGCTAGTAAGGATCCTAGTATCTCGGGTGTAGGGTCAATTCAATTTTTTCGTGAAGTCATGTGTCTGGTGCTTAGTAACCTATGGACGCAGCAACCATAGGATACATATCACCCACCTGAAACTGTCGTACAGGCTTGCAGGAGACTGCAACCCCATACCCTGACCTGCACTCCCTAAGCCCCAAAATCTAACTACGGCTGATGAAAAAAATCTTGCCCATAAGGAATCTACCATAATTCCCATAGTTTAGGGTCCTTAACGTAATCTAGGGTTTTAATCATCCACCGTAACCATAGAGCCCGACCCCCGCAGCCACAGGAAGTTGTGAAGCCGTTAGCGATCGACTCGACATTGTGCTTTCAGAAGCTGAGCTTCACCGTCTTGTTTCATGAGAAACCCTGGACGGAACACAAGGTTGCGAGAAGGGCGCATGCTGCAAGATCGTGGAGGTCAGAGGGTTCAGTCACCAGGAGTGGGAGGCGGAGATGTTTCGTCCTCTCAGAGTAGGTTTGAAGAAGAGTAGAAGCAGCAGCATCAGCTGTAGTAGTCGTCGTCGTAGTCGTCGTAGTCGTCGTAGTCGTCGTAGTCGTAGTCGTAGTCGTAGCAGTAGCAGTAGCAGTAGCAGTAGCAGTAGCAGTAGCAGTAGCAGTAGCAGTAGCAGTAGCAGTAGCAGTAGCAGTAGCAGTAGCAGTAGCAGTAGCAGTAGCAGTAGCAGTAGCAGTAGCAGTAGCAGTAGCAGTAGCAGTAGCAGTAGCAGTAGCAGTAGCAGTAGCAGTAGCAGTAGCAGTAGTAGTAGTAGTAGCAGTAGCAGTAGTAGCAGTAGTAGCAGTAGTAGCAGTAGTAGCAGTAGTAGCAGTAGTAGCAGTAGTAGCAGTAGTAGCAGCAGCAGCAGCAATGCCAACAACAATTACGATCATCGCCATCACCACCAATATTATCAACCCCATAATGTTACATAATCATCATCATCATAGTGAAATACTCCCAATCATAACCGCAGCTGCAGCAACCCTTCGACTGCTCAATTCGTGGTTGTTGGGTTTACATGACATAGGTGACCCGTTCAGTGTCGTATTAGTTACTTCCGGACTCGACTCCTCCTGCACAGTTTTTCTCTGGGGCGGACTTAGAGTGCAAAGGCTTCGGTCAACCGGCAATTCGTGTGCTTTGGAGCTGCCCTGCCAAGAGGTTCCACGTCTAACCTCTCAGCCACCCTCTGCATAAAACCCTAAGACCGCGAAAACCTCCCTCAAAAGCATGCAGCCATGAAGCAAAAGCCCACAACAGCACATCAATCCGACATTTCGGTTTAGGCTTGAGAGCACGTGGCTTTCAAACCTATCTTGAAACAAAACAGCTTCAAACCAAACAATCGCACCCCTCAAAGACGCATTTCAAGTGTGTCCCCGCCTCCAGTTGACTCCCGGCGAAGATGGAGAGATACGGCAAGTCGGTGAGGTCAGAACGGTCGGGGGCACTCCGGATTAGGGCAGTTTTGGATTAGCCGATTTTGCGAAGGTTTCGGGCTTATCATGCCGAGATGGTGGCTATCATCTTCGACAGCTTGGTTCTTGCCCTACACCCTAACGCACCCTACGTACATACCTAGCGACCTGGGGGTGGCTTTGCCTTCTACCACGACCTGTACTCTTTTGTCGTCGCGACGTGTGACAGCAGCAAGATCAAGCAACGTTCTCTGTTTTGTGATACGGCCAAGAGAGGCGCTGTCTTGTGTTGTGAGCTTGGAGTGGCGGGCATCCAGAGGAGAGCATTCACAACCATATAATTGCTAATCCGTATCTTGATTATTAGTGTCTTTATTATTCGTATGTTTATTGGTATCCTTACTATTATTATTATTACAGTAATATTCTATTATTATTATTATGTAACTATTACTGCTCATGAGCAACTGTAAGCCAAAGCCTTGACTGTGAACCTGCGGTTAGGCGACGCTTAGAAAGTCCAGCTCGGCAGTCAGCGAAAGTTCGGCGAAGAGGCTCGGAGGGAGGTTTTGGGTTTTGGGTTTAGGGAGGGATTCGACCGGATGCTCGAATCCGAAATACTTAAAATAACAGTGCCCCCTACTAGTCCACAGATGTAGATGATTGTAGTGCATTCATACTTCGGGGTGAGGGCTTCGATCGGGGATGTCAGGCTTTTAGGGTTTAGGGCTCCAGGGTTTACAGAAGGCTAGCGTCTCGGATGTGGGAGTCGATGTTATCGTACTTAGGGTGCAGTGACTCAGACTTGGGGGTTCGGGCCTACATGTGAGGTTGATAGTGAGAGAAGTGTGCATGTGTGTGTGTGTGTATGTGTGTGTGTGTGTCTGTGTGTCTGTGTGTCTGTGTGTGTGTCTGTGTCTACAGGAACCAGCATGACGGTCAGGCAGAAGGGCTTTCGATTTCAGCTGACTGAGCAAAAGGTGGCTGTAGACATAAATGTCTACAAGCATTCCTAAGCCTTAAACCCTAAACCCAAATCCTAAATCCCTGAACCGTAGCAGTGCGGCCGAAACCATGGTTGGCTCAGGGCCAGAGCATGGTAATCCCATCCGCAGATGATCGCAGGGTACCACAGGGGCCTAATTTATATGACTAATAAGACTGTTTTGGTATTCCTGACTGGAACAAGTCTAGTAAGTCTAGTATAACATACCCCAAAGCCGTATTCTAACTATTCAGGCCCCCCACATTACCTACACCCATCGGCTACCTTGGATGGGAGCTCCCTGCAAAGTTTTTGAGGCTTTCAAGTTGCACAGGTTTTGGGATTCTCGGTTCAAGGCTTTAAGGACCTCAATGGCCGGGTGCCCCAAACCCGAAATGCTCGAATAAGAAATGTCGGATTTCGGGTTTAGGGAATACCATGATGACGCAGCCTTCGACCTTCGATGCTACAGCCCCGAGCCCAATGTTGGCCCCTTTAAAGGAGCCCTGACAGTCCTTCCAGGAACCCTTAAAGGAGCCCTTTATGTTGCAGGAGAGTGCAGCTCAGATCAGCGACCAAAGAGTATCGCTACGATGAGGAGCATCAGAGACTCGGCAGCAAGAAACGTCGAGAGCCTGCTCCTAATCTGTACACACAATACGTACATACACACACACATATATATATATATATATATGTATAAACAGATGTGTACATATAGATCTGAAGGTCCTTGTCTTAGGAATTATACGAAACGGCCGTAAGAAGTGAGCAGCGAAAGTTCTGTACTGACAAACTTGGGCATATGGGGGTTTCCGAAAATTAGGGGTACCTTATTTTGGGGTCCTTATAATAAGGATCAGAAAATTTCGGGTACCATATTAGGATCCACTATTTCCGGAAACTCCCATATACTGTAATACTTTCAGATAGCATGCAACTATGCTGCAGACGTACAGTGCAGGTCCCAAGCCCGTTATTGCGCAATGCCACGGCAAGCTCCAGAATCAGGTTCCGAAACAACACCAATAATAACAAGAACAACATCCACTACTGCGATTACGACGACGACCACTACCACTACCACTACCACTACCACTACCACTACCACTACCACTACCACTACCACTACCACTACCACTACCACTACCACTACCACTACACTACTACCACTACCACTACCACTACCACTACTACCACTACCACTACCACTACCACTACCACTACCACTACCACTACCACTACCACTACCACTACCACTACCACTACCACTACCACTACCACTACCACTACCACTACCACTACCACTACCACTACCACTACCACTACTACTACTACTACTACTACTACTACTACTACTACTGCTACTACTACTACTACGCTACTACGACTCCTTCTACTACGACTACTACTACTACTACTACTACTACTACTACTACTACTCCTGCTACTACTACTACTACTACTACTACTACTACTACTACTACTACTACTACTACTACTACTACTACTACTACTACTACTACTACTACTACTACTACTCCTGCTACTACTGCCACTGCTGCTGTCGCTACGGCTACGGCTGTTGCGGCTGGGGCTGCCGCTGCCGCTGCCACTGCAACTGCTACAGCTACGGCTACTGCTACAGCCACTGCTTCTACGACGACGACAAAAGCTGCTGTTACTACTGCTATTGGCACAGAACTCGGTGAAGCTTGACCTACCTGCGGTGATGATACCACAGGCAACCAGCCACACCATCTCCCAACAGGGTTTAGGGCTTGCACCTCCAATTCCCGCAGAATGCGCTTCCAATTGTTAGGACATCTCGAGCCATTTTGGCATCTTCATTCTCAGCACTCAGCCACACCGATAAGATTGGCGGCATTTGATACTGGAGTTTATGTAAACCTTAAACCGACACGAGCCTGAAGACACTGCACAAGAGCAGTGGACTCTGCTGTGCGGTGTTGCCAGCGGTCAATGTCACTTGCCGTGGTGCTTTCATTGGCTGGTTGTATTACTAAGAACCCCAAACCCTAAACCCTATTCTGAGTGTTTTGTTGACGAAAATGAAGACGGTGACGCTGACATCAGATGTTGCTGGAGACGTTGACTGTGACGCCACGGTCCATCTGCGGGATGTCACCAGAACCCACCAACCATATACATGAAGCCCTTTACAAAACCTGTGAAATCACAGAAGCCAGTAAGAATTCTACGGACGCGCTGAGAACAGAGAAACAATAAAAAGCCGGTAAACGTTCCTGCAGTAGGAGAGAGTCCTTGTCATTTGACATAGTCTTACACAAGCCGTTTTCTTATGCCGAAGCCCTTAACCTCCGAGGAAGCTCCTCACCCAAAATGAGGAGGGAGAGACTGGTGCCTTGGTAGAAGTGCGGGTTTGTATATAGGTGTCCCCAGAAACCTCAGAACTTTTTATGCTTAGTCCATCAACAGACCTTAGATTGTATAGGGCTTCTTGCCAATCATAAATCAAGGCATGTTCCTCATGGAAAGAGTATTGGGCTTTCCGGTGAGGGCTTCTTGTCAATCATAAGTCGAGGCATGTTCCTCAGGGAAACAGTATTGGGCTGTCCGGTCAGTGGCAAGGTTTGTTTATCTAGGACCCAGAGTAGGCCCTTATTCCCTTTTTAAGGGTTTAGGTTCCCTTATAACGCTCTTTATCCCAAAAAGGGCACCCGTTTTATTCCTAGGTTACTCTTGGGTCTAGTTATAGGGTTTGCGCAAGAGTCTCCCAGGTTTAGACGCAAATCGGCATGGGAGGAGCCCCTAAACCCTCCTAAACTCTAAACCCTAAACCTAAACCCTCCTAAACATTAAACCCTAAACCCTAAACCCTAAACTCTAAACCCTAAACCCTAAAACCCTAAACCCTAAATCTTTTTTGAAGACCTTCAACTCATCAGTCGCACAGTTGGGGCTCGGGGCTTGGCAGTATTTTTTCCCAAGTAACCTACTTTTTAAGTATGCACAAAAGGAAATCAGAATAAGAAGCCCTCAACATGTGGGAGTTTCCGAAAATAGGGGACCCTAATAGAGTACACCACAAACCTGGATCCTTATTATAAGGAGCCCAAAGTAAGGTACCCCTAATTTTCTCGGAAACCCCATGTAGGTTTCTTAGGATCCCAGAAGAGCACTAAACCACTAAACCCTAAAAGCTGAAACTCCCATCGGCTGTAACGACTCAGGGTTTGTCCCATCGAATCGGGTGGTTGAGATGCCAGAGCTACGAAAAAACATCATTGGACTTAGTAACTGCGGTTACATATCCCTTTCTTCTTTTTGCTTAAGTAATCGCTTACACTCTTTCCATTTCGTGTCATTGTAGTTAAACAAAAGAAGAAAAGGCAACACAAAGAAGGAAATCATACCATGAGGTAGAAACTGGCGCTGGACACTAATTGTTGACCCAACTGAGGGATCGCTTGCACGGGTGAACTCGTGTGTTGAGCTGAGTGAAGGCAGACATTGGACGCCACCCCTAGGCGGTATAGCGTTGGGGGCTGAGGCCTTTCGGGTTCACGGGCTCTGCCATGCCATTTTCATGCAGTTGAAGATTCAACAATTTCGGAGTTTGGTGGTGTACGCCAATTCCAGGCGCCCACGAACACCGAACTCTTTGCCCCGAATCCCCAAAAAATATCTAAACCCGAGGCTCAAGCTCGAGGCTTTCTCAGCAGCACCAGCAACGCAAAAAGCAGGTTTAGGGTTTAGGGTTTAGGGTGTAGGGTTTAGGGGCAAAGCCCGAGTGCAAAAACATGCAAAGCAAATGCAAACGAATTTGCTCGAAGAGCGCAAAGTCTGTGGCGCAAGCGACCTATTTTTTCAAAGGGCCCAAACACTCAGCCCCCTAACCCTAAACACTCTCTTTCAACTGAGGCACTCTGGGTGATCTAGACTGGCTTAACTGGCTGGTCGCAAGCCATTGGACGTACTTCAAGAACTCGACCCAAAAGCTCATGAAGGAGGCAGGGCTCATGGTGTAGCAACTGTTTTTAGCATTGCTGCTTTTGGCATATTTTCGCCACAAGGGTCTCATGATGAGCTCATGAAGGAGGAGGAGGTTAATTAAGTCTTGCGAGCAGATTTTGCATTTGAGCCGCCAATATCAAAAGATCATTAAGGGTTTAGGGTGTCAAGGTTCAGAGTTGAGCGTTTGGAGTTTCAGGGCTCAGGATTTTAGGGTTTAGGGTTTCGGGTTTAGCGCTTGAGGGTTTAGGGTCTAGGTTTTAGGAGAACTCCTACGCCCAGAGTTGCTGAACAACGGACGCTGATGCTTCTGCATTTGCACATTCTCATGCTGCTGCATGTGTCGCTGCATGATTACCAAACCCCTAGCCACAAGCCGTGGATCCTAGATCCTCAAACCCTAAGCCCCTTACCCAATACCCTGACCCCTAACCCTAAACCGCTACATGCCCTAAACCCCAAACTCGAAATCCCTAAACCCTGGGGTTTGGAGTTACATAAACCCGAAACCCTCTCAACCCCAAGAACTAAGCCCAAGAAAACTGGAAAGGAGCGTCTGGGTTCGATTGTCGGTAGAAGACCCAAAGAATGCATAGATAGTTATTGGGAGAACTTGAAGCTTGTTGGTATAGAAGAAGAGAGATTATAGGGTATCGGGTTTCGGGTGTAAGATTCAGGGTAGGGTTCAGGGCTTAGGGTTGAAGGGGGAAGATTTAGCTTGAAGGGTAAAGTTAGATTCGTGCGGGGTTCAGGGCATATCCTTGTGGAGGTAACTGCGAGCAGCGGCCCAGAGTTTGGGTACAGAGACATCGTCAGCTCAGTTGGCTCCTTAAAGGGATCTATAAGGGTTCTGTTCTAAATATGAGGGTACTATTATAAATATAAGGGTTCTATGATAAATATGAGGGTACTATTATAAATATAAGGGTTCTATTATCACGGCCCAGGGAGGTAAACCTGAAGCCTTGAGCCCCTAAAACCCCCCACAGTGCTGGAACTTAAATGCCTTCGAAGCCCTAGTATAGAAGCCTGAACAGCTGGTGATAATAATAGTAATATAGTAGTAGTAATAATTAATAGTAATAGTAATAGTAATAGTAATAGTAATAACAGTACTGTTCCTTAAGGTGTCTTATGACAGCTGTACGCCTGTTCGAAGTATTGGCCCCAGCAGTAAGACCGAACTAAAGCCTAAACCCTAACTCCTAGACCCAGAGCCCTAAACCCACGTTCCTCCACGAAGCCCTAAACCCTAATCGCCCTAAACCCCTAAACCCGAAACCCTAAACCCACGTCCCTTCACGAAGCCCTAAACCCTAAACCCTAAATCCTAATCCCTAAGCCCTTAACCGCCCTAATCCCTAAGCCAGCATGGCCCTAATCCCTAAACCCCTAAACCCGACACCCTAAACCCTAAACCGCATGAGCCAGGAGTTGGAGCCCATGATCCAAGCGGCTCTTCCTCCACCTCTGAACATTATCGAGTTCAAGGCTCTCACCGAGGGTTTAAGGCTACGTAGCAACTAGGGTTATTATTGAGGTAACTATACTTATAACTACTTAGAACCCAAATTAAGGTACTTCTAATTATGCTTACTTACGAAGTCCCACGATACTCCGAGTAGAGTTTTCGGGTTTTATGTTGTCAGGCTTTTGGGCTTCGGGTTGGGAAGTCCGAAAGCCCTTACAGCAGGGGGCCCTTCTGAACGAACTTAGCTGGGGCTTTAAAGGGAACTCCAGAAAGTTGGAATATGGTTTCATGGTAGGATCCCCTATAATTTACCTTTAAAGGGGTTACGATAATTTTAAAGCAAAAGCCAGAAAGTTGGACTATGGATTAATGGTAGGATCCCGTATAATTTACCTTAAAGGGGTTACGATAATGATATTCCAACTTTCTGGCTTCTACTGTAAGTTGGGTGCTGGCCTTGGTGGTTTTTGAGGGCTTGAGGCTTTATGGGGTCTCAGTGCTCAGTGTTCCGGGTTTAAGGCCTCTTAGTTTGGGGTTCGGGCTTCAGTCTTTAGCCTTGGAGGGTGTAGAGCTCTAGGTTGCGGTTGCGTGTGCAGGGTTGAGGGTACCTGGCCCTTGATCTCGGGTCCTTCCACCAACGGGCGAGCCCAAACGCACTTCCTGTGGCGATTCTACAAAGCCCAGCGCAAGTAGACTGGCCCCAAGATACGAAAGGATAAGAAGAGCGTGCGCAACACTTTGAGCGGTAAGAGGTGAGAAGCGCAGAAGAGACACAACACCACCAAGAGTAAGAGGTTTAGTCGTGTTACCAGTGGTAGTACTCATTCGCTGGGGTGGGCTAGATAAGCTGATAGTAATTGCTTTCCCACCAATTGCCAAGAGTCGTACTCACCCATCAGCTTTTAGTAGCCGTAAATCTGGATACTGCCCCTCTCAGTATGTAACCGTGGAACAATATTTGCACAAAAGATATGTATATATGTATATATGTATATGCATATGTATATGCATATGTATATGTATATGTATATGTATATGTATATGTATATGTATATGTATATGTATATGTATATGTATATGTATATGTATATGTAGATGTAGATGTAGATGTAGATGTAGATGTAGATGTAGATGTAGATGTAGATGTATATGTCTGTATGTATGTATGTCTTTCTCTCACTCTCTCTCTCTACATATAAAGACCCTTATAGTAACCTTATACTGGACTCTGGCTGTATGGGGGCAGTACACAGCGTAAACCCATGACTACGAGATACACCCTAAACCCCAAACCCTAAGCCCCAAACCCTAACCCAAACCCCAAAACCTAAAACCTAAGCCCCACAACCTAAACCCTAAACCCCAAACCCTACGCCTAAACCCTACACCCCAAAACCTAAACCATAAAATGTAGGGGACCAGCACCCAACTTATAGTAATAGCCAGAAAGTTGGAATATGATTATCCTAAACCCTTTATGGTAAATTCTAGGGTATCCTACCCTGAAACCATATTCCAACTTTCTGGAGTTCCCTTTAAACCCATGACTAGGAGATCCACCTGGGCGACCGAAAACCGGTCCTGGGGCCGATCCAGACTTTTTTCGAGACGCAGCACCTTGGTTTCTTAGGGAGGTTTGGGGAGTTTAGGTGTTTAGGGTTTAGGATTGGGGAGGTTAGGGTTAGGGGTTGAGGATTGGGGAGGTTAGGGTTTGGGGTTCAGGATTGAGGAGTTCCAGGTTTTATTGCTTAGGTGTTTAGGGTTTAGGGGTTTAGGGTTGAAGGGTTCGGAGTCTAAGGTTTAGGATGCCACTAAACTCTAATTAGGAGCTTTGATTATTAGAACAGTGTATATGGGGTGAGACTGCAAAAAGGGAACAGAGGGACTACGCAAGGAAGAACAAGTATTCCTAACTACCCCGACCCCTTGTCTCACCATGTAACAGGTCTGAATAATTCTTAAGCGTATTCCATTACTGTCCATATGAATCTAAACTATCGTAGCCTCGAAGCCCTAAAGGCCCTACATTACGAAGCATCCTGAACCATAAAGCCTACAAGCCCAGAACCCTGAACCCTTGAACACTAAACCCGAAAGCCCAAACCCTATAACCCTAAACCCTTAAGCGTTACACCTAAACCTTCCTTAAACCTTAAAAACCTTTGACCCGAAACCCTAGGCCTTGTAAGCCCCAAACCTTCAGCCCTCGACCCTAAACCCTAATAACTACAAGCCTCGCAACCCCCCGACCGATGCATGGGGTGTAATTTACCTAGTAGTAGACTAGGCAACCTTTAACCTTTTTTGGGTAGTATAGTCCCTATATAACCAAAAAGGTTGACCTTTATTTCCCCATGATATCCGACAAGTAGGTTGAGCTTCAGAGGCCAGGGATCATGGTTGAAGGGTTTAGGGGATTTTGATGTAGGGTTTCGATTCGGGGTCTAGGGTTCAAGGTTCATGGCTTAGGGTTTGGGCTTAGGATTTACTCCTGTGCTTCGGGTTTGAAGTTGTTTGAAAGGGTTTGGCTAAGAGATTTTCCGGCTTACAGGGCCCTTCGCATGCCCCCCCAAGCCCCGCGCCGGAAACCCTAAACCCCCCAGCTTCAGCCAAATCCAGCGTCCTAAACCCTGCACACCCCAAGCCCTACGTCTGAAGCCCCAAAGCCACTTGTAGAGCCCAGGAACCCTATCCTAATTATTATTAAGGCCCCTATATCACACCTTTATCGTCTCCCTTATGCTAGCCCTTACAAGGAACCCTTCAACGGAACCCAAGCCAAAACCCGAAGCATCAAGCCGTAGAGCTGAGGAATGGCTTCGAAGGCCTGAATATCGATACCAACGAGTCTCGGCCAAATTTGGGTAGAGTTTGTGGTCCAGGGTCCAGGGTTTAGGTACTTCAGGTGGGCTTGGGATGTAGGGGTTAAGGTTTTCGGGCTGTTTGTGATCTTCCGTGTCCAAAGGACGCACTGCTATTGTACGAACGTGGCTTGATTATACAGTTTCATACTTGCTTTGTATGGTTGCATATGAGCTTTATGTGGTTTCAGATGGGCTTTATGCGGTTTCACATTGGCTTTGTATGGTTTATATGAGCTTTGCATGGTTTCATTCGGGCTTCGTATAGCTTCATTCGGCTTTATATGGTCGCACAGCATCTTCTGCAAGGGCTTTGTACGGGCCCGGGCGCCAAGGTAACCTGGCTGTGCGACGGCAAGATTATTCTTCGAATCGGCGCAGTGGAGATTGGCGTAGCGGCCCGGCCTGCTTAGGGCCATGCTTGCAGGATCATGAGACTTAGTAACTAGAGGTCTTATTAAGGTAAGTATACTTGTAACTACTTATAACCCCAACTAAGGTACTTATACCCATATACTTACGAAGTCCCATGATCCTCCAAGTATTCACTCTAGGACCTAGGGTTCAGCATTCAACAGCCCGATAAAGAGCCTTGTGCAGTTTACCAGTCCGAGGGACTGAAGAACTGGCTCAGAGCAGGTTGGCAGGAGAGAAACATCCTAGCAGTGCAGTGTTTGCGATTCTCTTCAGGATCAGGTCTCGGATTTCCTTAGGGTTTAGTTGAGGGTTGAGGGATTCGTTCCTGGCTCAAGTTCGGGGTTTGGACTTCCTTGTGTGTGTGTGTGTGTTGTGTCTGCGCAGCCAAAATCCTAAACCCTAAACCCGAACGCCCGTAGCAAAAAGCAAAAACTGCAGTTGCTTGCGGCTGAGGAAAATTTTTCGCTCAAGGGCAGCGTGCACTTGCGACTGCGGCCCTTGCTTGAGACGCTCTCTGCCAGCAAGCCTGGACACCGGCATTCAATTAAAAGCTGACAATTGGCGCCTTGGGGTTGGTTGGCAAAACCACCGAGCTGCGTCCCGAATACAAACCCTATGCCTAATGTAGTATCCCACCACTCTGAACCTCTGCATCTGAATCTAAACCCCGCGCCTACCTCTGAACCTTACCATCTGCCAGGTTCGAGGCTCAAGGGCTCAGGGAAGGACAATACGAAGATGCACATGGGTTCCGCGTTTCAAGGCTGAAGGCTAGAGGGTGCTGAGGCTCCAAACCCCTAGACACCCTCACTCCTAGAGTTCGGGGTTGTAGGTTGTACGGTTCAGGGTTCAGTGGAGCTTCCTGTCCGGTCGAAGCTAGGGAAGCTGTCGAACGTGCAGCAAGTCTCCTCAACCCTAAACCCTAAATCCTACTCAAATCCTAAGGGTCCGCCGGACTGGCAAGACTTCCCTGCTTGAAGAGTCAGTATGGTTCTGAAACCCCAACATAGGAGCCTTGACAAACAGGATAGGGTTTCGGGGTAGATTACATTATACAGAAACCCTAAACCCTAAACCCTAATGTATAGTTACTGAAACAGTAAGGAGCCCCGAAGGATGCCAGCGGATGATTTAGTGCGGAGTTTTCTACCTTAGAAAGATGGCAAATGTTAGCAGCGCCTTACCGGCCTGACATCCTCGGCTCCGAGAACCCTAAACCCTAAACCCTAGACCAAAAAAAAAACCCTAGACCTGCTTGGAGGGCAAGAGACCCAGTAAATAAGGCGATAAGTAGAGTTATAAGTGGCCTAGATGGACTTACCCCAATTATAACCCTGCTTATAACCATGCTTACTAAGTCCCATGATCCTCCAAGGAGGCAGTGTGAGTGATGTCTCCGTAAGCCCAAACTTGAAGCCACCGTGAAGCCAAAGGTCTGACTATCTAAAACCCCAATTCGGTTTGGGGGTTTCGGGGTTCAAGGTTTAGTGTTAGGGTTTAGGGTTTAGGGATTTAGGGTTTAGGGTTTAGGATCCCGAAACAACACAAGAACCCCTAAGCCAATCCCTTCTTTCTGAGGCTGCCTGTAGTGGGTGGCATGCAGATCACCATGCTGTCTCCACCCATGACGCACTGGACTTTCACAGGCTTGGGTCCTGGTCCTGGCCTCCGGGGGTTTATGGGATACTACAAGGGTTTGCAGGGTTTAGCGTGCAAGGTTTGGGGTTTGGGGTTCGGGGCTTTGCTTTAGTTATGTGCTTGGGTTCAGGCTCAGGTGTGCCTGCCAGTTCTGCTGCCTGACAGTGGAGTTGTGGTGTTTTTGGGTTCTCGTGCAAGCGCCTTCTGGGCAATCTCTGCTTCCATTTAATTGCGCGATGTCGATGCTGCATTGAGATCCCGACACCCCTTAATTACGGAATGTACCGAAAAAATCACAGCTTTTGAGCGCGGATATGAATTCTAAGCCCATTATATAGTCTAAAGTATATTCCGAAATTAAGGGGTATTGGGATCTCAGGGTGGTGCTTGAGATGTCCCTGCAGGTCGCTTCAGTTGTATCTGCGTCGCCCATAAGAAGAACTGGCCTCAGCATTTCATCAACGATTATGGCACGGAGTCGTTGAACAGCAGCCCAACACAAGACAGCGTCATAGCAATCATACTACATAGGACTACTGGTACTATTAGTACTACGGGTACTGCTAGTGCTACTGCCAGTGCTGCTGCTAGTAGTAGTAGTAGTAGTAGTAGTAGTAGTAGTAGTAGTAGTAGTAGTCGTCGTAGTCGTAGTCGTAGTCGTAGTCGTAGTCGTAGTCGTAGTCGTAGTCGTAGTCGTAGTCGTAGTAGTAGTAGTAGTAGTAGTAGTAGTAGTAGTAGTAGTAGTAGTAGTAGTAGTAGTAGTACTACCACTGTACTACCACTACTACTACTACTACTACTACTACTACTACTACTACTACTACTACTACTACTACTACTACTACTACTACTACTACTACTACTACTACTACTACTACTACTACTACTACTACTCTTACTACTCCTCGTCGCTGCTGCTGCTGCTCCGCCACTGCTGCAGCCACTGCTAGTGCTCCGGCTGAGGCTGGGGCTCCGGCTCCTGCTCCTGTGCTGCTACCGATACTTCAAGGATCATGGGACTTAGCAGCCCCTTTAAAGGGGTCCTTTGAAAAAGTCTGTAAGGGTTCTGTAAGGGGGATTTAGGGTCGACTTCAAGGGTCATGGGACTTAGTAACTAGGCTTATTAGTAGGGTAACTAAGCTTATAACTACTTAAACCCAAATTAAGGTACTTACAACCATAATTCAACCATACTTACCGAGTCCCATGATCCTCCAAGCACTGCTATATACTGCTACTAACCCGACGCTGACCTGCACCCGCAGTCCCGAAAATCCAAGCCGTAGGCCCTGTTCCGAAACGCCTGCTGCCTTTGCCTTGTTGCCAGGCGGTTTGGCATTGGGGCTCAAGATGGACATTGTCACACGGACATGGGCTCGGGGTTCAGGGCTCAAGGTTTTAGGTTCAGTGATCACCCCAAACCCTAAACCCTAAACTGACACTCTAACCGATATTTTGGCTTGCTGGGCTGCCAGTTGGAGCGAATCAAGAGTTCTCAGTACTTTGGACCATCTGCTTGGGGCAGCGGACTCAGTAAGTAGGGTTATAATCGGGGTAAGTCCATTTAGGGTGCTCATAACTCTACTTATAACCATACTTACTAAGTCCCCTGCCCCTCCAAGTAGACCCCTAAACCCTAAACCCCATAGATCCCTTTAAGGAACCCTAGAGATCCCTCTAAGGAGCCCTTTAAGAGCCCTTACTAAGTCCCGTTTGAGTACTTTGGATACTTTGTTTCCGGCTCCTGACCTGGGCCCTGACCTTACAGAAACCCTGGGTAATGGTTTTAATACTGCATAGGGTTTAGGATTTTTTTTTTTAAATATTTTTTTGGTGTTTTAGGGTTTTTAGGGTTTTAGGGTTTTTAGGGTTTTTAGGGTTTAGGGTTCAGGGGTTAGGGCTTAGGGTTCAGGGGTTGCGCAATGGTTTTAATACTGCATAGGGTTTAGGGTTTTTAGGGTTTAGGGTTCAGGGGTTAGGGCTTAGGGTTCAGGGGTTGCGCAATGGTTTTAATACTGCATAGGGTTTAGGGTTTTTAGGGTTTAGGGTTCAGGGGTTAGGGCTTAGGGTTCAGGGGTTGCGCAATGGTTTTAATACTGCATAGGGTTTAGGGTTTTTAGGGTTTAGGGTTCAGGGGTTAGGGCTTAGGGTTCAGGGGTTGCGCAATGGTTTTAATACTGCGGGGGTTTGGGGTGTAGGGTTTAGGGGTTTAGGGTTTAGGGTTTAGGGGTTGCGCTTGAGCGTCGAGGCCCGATAGCTTCACCCGCCAGAAGATGGTCAGCCTTTACCCTAAACTCCCTTACAGCACCCGTAAAAGAAGACTTCCAGAGCCCTTGTAGGACTCATCGGAAGCTCTAGACGCTTACATAACTCTAAATGCCATGGTGGGTGCTTGTCGAAATCATGGTCCCTTCTTGGGTCCCTAGTATAGTACGGCACCTAATGTTTAGGGTTCCCCCAAAAAGGGACCCTAATTTTGACAACCACCCCAAGGGGGGTGGAGCCTCGGTGATCGGTTGTCTTCGGAGCTGAGAGGTCCGGGTGGGTCGAGTTGGAAGAGCTTCGGGGAGTATGGTCCGAAACCCAAGCTCAACTAGGACGTTTTAAGGTTCAAAGTTTAAGGGTTCCGGGCTCAAGGTTTCAAGGGCTGATGCGGGGTTCTAAACCCTAAACCCTACACCGGGGTCAAGGGGCTAGGACCTAGAGTAGGCCCTTATTCCCTTTTTAAGGGTTCAGGTTCCCTTATAACACCCTTTAAACCAAAAAGGGCACCCTTTTTATTCCTAGGTTACTCTTGGGTCTAGTGGTTGGACGGAAGAGGATTCTGCCCTAAACCCGGAGTTAGGGCTTTGGGGACATTGATCTTACCTATCAATATTTTTCAGAGGATTTGAAAGCACCTCCTAGTTGGGATCTGGGAGGAATCTGTTGATTGTTCATGTTGGTTCAATTGTTACCAACCTCCTGGATTGAAATCCCTGAGCCGGAGCAAGAAGCACCGCCATGCAATGACTCAGGTTTTGGATGGGCTTCAATCCTGGGCCAAGCACCGCCGATTTTTGATGGCCACGTCTGGTTTATTCTTCTGCACCTTTTGCGCCCAGAGGAAACTCGCACGGCCGGCACTGCCTCCCGTGCCCTGGAGAGACAGAATTTAACGCACAGCAACACACTTGCATACACCGCATCAATCATCGCAATGCACTGGTCTGGATGAGACCTCCGGGCATTGACCTCTTCGCACAGATCTTAATCCTCTGAATAGCGAGGTCTGCGCAGTTGAGTTCCTTGACTGAAGCATCGCATTGCACCGCTGGAACATAAAGCCACGCTTGGTTTCTTGTTGGCTCGCCCAGCCACGTCGTTGCGCTGACACTAAACCCTAAACCCAAACCCCAAACCCTAAACCCTAATGCGCCTAAACCCCCAAACCCCGAAGTATCAGAAGCCCTCGACCTGGCTTGATCCACACCCCGAGCCCTCCGGAAACATCTCGGGGGTGCTTGCCAAAGGATCCCTCAGTTACGGTTGGGGTTTATGGTTTAGGGTTTAGGGTGGGAGGATGGGTGGCTAGAAGGAGAACCCTTGGACAGCATCCTAAATCCGTGCAGGACCCTCCGGAAGGTGCTGGCAGACATCCTGAGTGACATGCTGGTGGTGCCTGTGGCAAAACGCAGAACTTGCACTCTTCGGCCGAACCCCGATACACTATTGAAGACAGCTTAGCGAGTCACAAGCAGGCCTTATGCTAAGTCGATGGCGCTACTTGCTTTAGGGTTTCGAGCTTTGGGCGACGTAGAACCCGGCACTGCTTACCCAGAAACTCCAACATCCCCCTACCTTCGGTCGCCTGTATCCTATATCTTATAGCACATAGTTCTTTCAGCGCATGGTTTAAGAAAGGGGCCCAGACCCCTAAACGTGTAGGGTTTAGGATTTCGGGGATGAGGGCTCTTGTCATTCAGGGCTTCAAGGTTCCGTTCTTTTGGGACTAACCCTAAACCCTAGACTCTGAACCCCAAACCCTAGACCCTAAACCCTAAATCCAAAGCCCCTAAATCCAGGACCCTAAACCCCAGACCTTAAACCCCAGACCCTATAAACCCTAAACCCAAAGCCAACCCTAAACCCTAAACTTTAAACCCTGGACCCTAGACCCCAAACCCTAAACCCCAAACACATAAATAAACTTCTACAAACCCTGAAACCAAAGCCAATCCTCAACCGTGGACCCTGGACCCAAAGCCCCTAAACGCCCAGGTGCCGAACCAGATCTTCGTGCACTGGCTCGAGGCGCAACATATAGGACTGGATCTGGACACCCTGGAGCACCTCGACGCGGGTTTGGGGCACATGGTGTTGAATAGTACATAAGAGTATATGAAAGTATATATGTATGTATATATATATATATATAGTAGTACAGAATAGTATATGATCGTATATAACAGCATATATGATAGTATGTACGAGGTGTATAGTACCATGAAACCCTCAAACCTGAAGCCCGTTTCAGCGCTCAGGGTCAGCAGGGCAGTAGGGCTGCAGGTTTAGATGGTAGAGGTTTAGGGTTTAGGGTTTAGGGGTTTAGGGGTTTAGGGTTTAGGGTTTAGGGGTTAGGGTTTAAGGTTTAGGGGTTTAAGGTTTAGGGTTTCAGGGTTTAAGGTTTAGAGTGAGGGCGTTGGGGAGTTTCGCCTCAAGTGGTGCAGGGTTTAGGAGTGCTTTACGGTTTGGAGCTTAGAGTTTGGTATTGCATGAGGTTTTAGGGAGTTTAGAGTTGTGGCCCTAAGGTTCGTGGTTTAAGGGTTTACGGTTTGGGGCTCGCGCCCTTATGTCTACCATCAAAGCCCTGAGATGTTGCTTCAGTATTGCTCTCATGCCTGTTTTCGTTCCCGAGGCTCCATAATGCCACAATGCATGAGCGCCGTATCCCTGAAATGATGATAGGAAAACCCTAGTACGGTTCAGCGTATGTTCCTTAAGGGGTTTAGCGAGTCTCCGGGTTAATGTAGGGTTTGGTTTTAGGGCTTAGGCTTCCGAGTCAGAGGATTTAGATTATTCAGCCCTTAAAAACCCTATAAAACCAACTCATCCCCCTAATCGAGCCCATTAAACGGAGCCCTATTCAAACTATCGAGGCCCCTACATTACCTAGTAGTAGAGTAGGTAACCTGTAACCTTTGTTGGGTAGTATAGTCCCTATATAACCCTTATATAACCAAAAAGGTTAACCTTTAGTTCTTTATGATACCCGACAAGTAGCACATAATAACAATAATGCTGAAGTTAAGCAGTAGTTTCAGTAGTTTCAGTTATAGTGGTAATGGTAGTAAGAACGGTACTCCTTATCGTAGTTACAATCGTAATGGTGATACTGTTGATGGACAAAAGCCTGCATGACCCCTAAGGACCCTAAACTATGGGAATTATGGTATATTCCTTATAGTGGGTAGTGCAGGGTTTTGTCCATCAGCAGTAGTAATGATACCCGACAAGTAGGACTAGTTGCCTCGGGTTTACAAACCCAGAGATCTGATCTTCGACTCGGTTGCACGGTGGGGGCTAGGATTCAGGGGTTTAGGGTTCAGGGTTCAGCCGTTTAGGGTAGTTAAGGGTCGAGGGCTGATGGTTTAGGGTTTTTTTGGGAGGCGGAGGGGTAGAAATAGGGAAAGTATCCAGAACTTGCAGTAAACGTGGTTCCGTCGCGAGCCGCTTCTACGGCTTGAGAACGCACCTTAAGTACGCTAAACCCTAAAGGGAACTCCAGAAAGTTGGAATATGGTTTTAGGGTAGGATACCTTATAATTTACCATAAAGGGTTTAGGATAATCATATTCCAACTTTCTGGCTTTTACTGTAAACCCTTCCCTGCAAACCCCAGTCCCTGGTCTGGCATTTCGATGCTCTAATCTGGCAGGTTCCATTCTAAACTCTAGGCTCTAAACCTAGGACCCAGAGTAGGCCCTTATTCCCTTTTTAAGGGTTTAGGTTCCCTTATAACCCCCTTTATCCCCCAAAAGGGCACCCTTTTTATTCCTAGGTTACTCTTGGGTCTAGAAACTCTTGGCTCTAGATGCTAAATCCCGAACCCGACGCCCTGAGCCCTTAATCCGAAATCTGAAAACCCAATGCCGCCTTGCCACCCAAAACTAGACCCTTAAGCCGCAAAAGCCTTGAAATCGCTACTTAAAGGACCATGGGACTTAGCAACTAAGGTTATTAAGGTAACTATACTTATAACGACTTATAAGCCCAATGAGGGGACTCATACGCATACTTTCTAAGTCCCATAATCCGCCAAGTAAGGTTTCCAGAGCCAGAGTTCCTGATGCGGCTGCTTCCCGGTGGCATCTGAGTACGTCTGTAAAATATGGGCCCCTTTTCGGGTCCTTCTTTTCATTTCAGGGTGCCATGCTATTTTGGGGACCTAAGAAGGGACCCGGATTTCGAGAACTGCCCATCTGGGGTTGGAGCAGAGATCAGGCTTGGGGGTGTAGGTTGGTTTAGGAGTTCAGGTGTCACAGGGTTTAGGGTTTCGGGGTTTATGAGGTCAGTGGTTAAGGGGGGTTAAGGGTGGTTTAGGAGTCCAGGGTTGAGGGGTTTGGGGGGTTAGGAGTTCAGGAATTTAGGGTGTTTCAGGTTTTAGGGGTTTCGGGGTGAAGGGGTTTTGGGCCGTTCAGGGTTTGGGCTGCAGTGGGAATGTCAAAGCAATCTCGAAGATGAAGCCACGGTTCAGTCGAAGCATAGGAGCCATGCTGATTATGCACGGTTTCCATGCGATATGAGGTCGGGTATTATAGAGGCCTTCATAGTTACCTATACTATTGTGGTGGTTTCTTTATTGTAATTCTCGCTTAACGGACCCCAAAACCCTATTCTAATCTTGAGGCCTCTATACTATACTCCCCTTCTAGCAGCCCTTGAAGGACCCATTTAAAGGAGCCCTCTTCTAATTATTAATGCCCCTATATAGTATATGGGGGTTTCCGAAAATAGGGGACCCTAACATAGTACCCTAGATAGTAGGATCCTTATAATAAGGATCCCAAAATAAGGTACCCCTAATTGTCAGAAACTCTAAACCCCTTCTAGTACCCTTATAGTAACCCTTTAAAGGAACCCTAAGGTACCCCTAGTTTTCGGATATAGTATATGACGAACGGAATAGCTTCCATTCCCAGATGCGTCGGGGGCCGTGCGACCTCCATGGGGCGCTCAGCCTCGCAATCCTGAACCCTCCCTTTAAAGGATCCTTAGGGTTCCCTTAGGGTTCCCTTAAAGGGGTCTATAAGGGGTAATATAAGGGATTTGTAAGGGTACTATAATCTTGGGGCTTGAATAATTACTACCACTATTTTGGGGGTTCCTCATCATATTTATAGCATAATGGGCTCCAAAACCCTGCTCTGATTGTTAAAGCCCCCAGATGATAGCACCCTTCTAGACCCCTTTATAGTAACCTTTATATAGACCCTTTTAAGGGAACCCGATTCATGAAGGCCACAAATAAGAGCAGCGATCACAACAAGGCCGCTAAAGGAGTTGAGTTTCGGATCTGCGAGGAAAAAAGACCTTCCAAAATCCCTCAGTTAAGGAATATACCTTAAGCTAGCTATATTCGGGTTCCTATCACGTTTTACGGTATATTCCTTAATTGAAGGGTTTTGGAAGGTCTGAGAAGCTTGGAACTGCATGCGCCATGATAGACGGTTTGCTGCGGTGTCGTGTCCGCTGGGCAGCTTCTCCTGCGCTGTTTGAGGGTTTAGGATTCAGGATTTAGGCTTCGGGGTTTAGGGTTTGGGTATGGGGTTTAGGGTTCTTCGTGATTTATCAGACTAACACGAGGAGGAGCGATACGGTTGATGATAGATATCCTTCATTACCTTAAGGACCCTAAATTATGGGAATTGTGGTATATTCCTTATATTGGGTCATGCAGGATTTTGTCCATCCACAGTACGTGGTCGTCTGCAGAAGTGGCCGGACAAGCACAGGAAGTAGCAGATTACAGAAGCCAGGGCCCCCTAGCCCCCCTAAACTTTCAACTCTTAAAACTCTATAAACTCCACTCTCCGAAGAGTAAAGCTCAAGGGGCGTGCTGGATGTGACGGGTCTCGCCGAGACTTGGTCCCTGTGTGGTTCGCGGTCGTCCGGGAACCTGGCCTTGCGTGCGGGATTGCAGGGGGTTTAGGGTTTAAGGTCTTAGGGTTTAGGCTTTAGGGTTAGGGGCGTTTTAGGGTTTAGGGGTTGAAGGTTTACGGATTTACGGGTTTAGGGTGTAGGCTTTAGGGTGGGTTTGGGTTTTGGGGTTTCAGGGTTTTTGTCTTAAGCTTCGGGGTTTAGGGTTTAGAGTCCAGGGCGTCTGGAAGAAAGTTGTTCTGAAAGCTCCTCGGAGGTCTTGTGCTGCATGATCTGGTGGCCGTAAGAATGGGGGATCCCAAACCCACCGCATTCTCAAGGTCAGGTCTGAGGTTGCGGGTTTTGGGGGGTTAAGGGTGGCTTAGGTTAAGCAGGTGGGGGCATCCCGCCACGGTCTCAGACCTTTGAGCATGAAGCTTCTTGGGTAGATCGTCCTCGTAAGACTAGTGGTCATGACGCCGACGAGGCAGCGGTGAAGGTCCCATGTTGCTGCAGTCTTGAAGTCCTTGCTGCCAGCTGTCATCGGAAGCAACTTCTCCAACAGTGGAGTGTATGGATTTCGCAACTGATACTATAAGAGGTGCTCACAAGTGGTACTATAAGGTACTATATGGAGTACTACGACGGCACTTTGAGAGGTGCTATAAAGGGCACTATTTTCGCACCTGACGATATCGATGTCGTAACATTGGCCCCTCGTGTGGCGAGGCCTGGCAGTAAAAAGTTCTTCTACTAGCACCTCTACTATTGCCTGCTACTGCTATTCTATTAAGGCTTATTTACCACTACCACCATCTTCTCAGTCTGTTGGTTTTGCGACGCCAAACCTCGCAACCTTGAAACTCGAAGCCCTAAACTAGGTTCGATTTGGGATAATCTCAAATTTCCCTTGTTGGTGAATATTATAGAGCCCCCCAATTATGAGTCATTTTGGTGACTGTTGAGTTCTACACCCAGTAAGCCCCGACACCACAAAACTCGATGAATACCCTAAACCCTAAACCCAAAACCCAAAGGACCCAAAGGGCCCAAAAGCCTCGGCCCAGCAGCCGCAAGCGCTGAAGCCTTCAACCCTTTAGCTCTACACCCTCAGGACACGAAACGGGACACCAACAGACCTCAAAATTGGACTGAAGCCTGGTAACCTGAGGATCCAAAAGCTGGATCCTGAAGACAAAATGCCCAACTTAATCTCCAAAGCCGCTACCCAGAGGCCCCATAGTAGTTCCTTTTTGGGATTACCTTATAGGATTCTAAATATGAACCCCCAAAAAGGAACTACTATGGAGCCTTTGGGTAAGCTCAAAGGTCGGAGGGCTACGCTATGCTGCAGGTGAGCCCTTCAAGCCCTACCTTAAACAGCCTAGACTTTCGGTTTTTCAGGATCTAAGGTGAGGAGCGCTGTGTTTTGGGGGCTTTCGAGTTGAGTTGAGCGCTTTGGAGGATCATTTAGGGCTTAGGGCTTAGGGTTTAGGGTTTAGTAGGGTTTAGTAGGGTTTAGGGTTTAGGGTTTAGGGTTTAGGGTTTAGTAGGGTTTAGGGTTTAGGGTTTAGGGGTTGCTTCTCCACTGGATTGTTTCGGGGCTTTATGGGGCTTGGGCTTGCCGTCAAGGGGCTCAGGGTTTTGTCGGTTGAGCTCGGGCTGGAGAGCGGGTTTCGTTAGGGTTTAGGGTTTGGGGGTTTTAGGGTTTTGAATTTGGGGTTGAGGGTTTAGGGGTTTTGGGGGTTTGGGGGTTTAGGATTTTGGGGTGTAGCGTTTTGGGCTTTAGGGTTGACCGTCTCGCTTTTCGGGCTTATTTGCTGCGTCCAGCGTCCTTCTTGAGTGCGACAAAAGCGCTTTCCGTCTCACCTTCCACGGCACCGGCTCGGTTGTTGGGGATTTTGACAGGGTACAGGCATACTTTCAGCCGGACACCGAGTTGCTCTGCGCCTTCAAGCTGATGGGCGGTGGTCATGTCCGCCAGACCATCGGCAGTAAAGCCCCAAAAAGCCCCAAATCCCTCATATAGGGGCCTGAATAATAAGAATAGGGTTTCGAGGCCCATTATACTATAAGTATAATAAGGAACCCCAAAATGGAGCAGGTGTTTGTTAAATCCCGAAGCACTTCGGCGAGGACACGTGGAACCTCAGCCCCAAACTTACAGTAGAAGCCCAAAAGTTGGAAACCCAATAGCCTCAGTCCTTGAGAGTAACGTATAGGGAATCCCAGCACTACTGCTGATGGACAAAATCCTGTATGACCCTAAGGACTCTAAACTATGGGATTTATGGTATATTCCTTATAATGGGTAATGCAGGATTTATCCCTAAACCCTAAACCCTTAAACCCCTATAGATCCTTTAAAGGAACCCCTTAAAGGTACCCATATTCCTTATATTTTGTCCATCAGCAGTATTTGGCCTTAATCGGGTTTCCAACTTTATGGGGTTTACTGTAGAAGCGGGGCCTTCAAGTTCAAGCCAACATCCCAGAGCTTCCTACGGCTGATGATATAAATCCTGCATTACCCAAAACAAGGAATATACCATAGTTCCCATAGTTTCGGGTCCTTAAGGTAATGCAGGGTTTATATCATCAACAGCATTTTCAGTTGGGAGTTTCCGAAAATTAGAGGGACCTTTTTTGGGGTCCTTATAATAAGGATCCTACTATTTAGGTTGCTATATTAGGGTCGCCATTTTCGGAAACTTGCATATAGTGTAAGGGCCCGAACACTGGATGGTCGGAGTATTCTTTGTGGCTCCCGAGTATCACTCTCTTATACTCGATGCCAAAACCACAGTGAAACGAATCATTGAGGCCATCGAATTCATCCCGTTATCTTATCCGAAAAGCTGATCCCTTAACCCGAACCCTAAGTCGCCTAACTCTAAACCCTAAACCATACACCCCATGTAGACCCGAAACCCTGAACCCTGAAACCCTAGATCCTTAACCCTCAACCCTAAACCTGAATCCTAAGACCTCGTAATAAGACTTGGCAACCTTTGAATCCTGAACCCGAAACCCTAAACTCTTAACCCCAAACCCTAAACCCTGAACCCTGAACCCTGCACTTAAACAAAACCCTGAACCCGAAACCCTGCTCTCTTGTCTTTTGGAGGTGGGGGCCCAGACCTTCCAGGCTCCAGCCAAGAGGCAGGCTTTAGGCCTTAGGGTTTGGAGTTTAGGGTTTAGGGTTTAGGGGTTCAGGGTTTAGGGGTTTAGGGGTTTAGGGTTTAGGGTTTAGAGGTTTAGAGTTTAGGGTTTAGGGACGGTTTAGGGGTTTAGGGGTTCAGGGGTTTAGGGGTTTAGGGTTAATTTGGGGTTTAGGACTTTTCGGATTTAGGGCTGGATGGGGGCGACTTTCTGGACGCTTGGGTATATTTTGTTTCGCATAGTTTCACGAGTTCCATAAAGCTGCTGCGCTACTGCTACTAGCGCTGCCATTGCCCAAGTAGCGCTGCTTTGGCTACTGCTACTCCTGTACTGCTACTGCCACTGCTACTTACAGCTACCGCGCTTCTAACTAACTTATGTGGTTGTTTTTGCATGCATGAGCATGTGCACGTGCACGTGCATGTATCTGTGTTTGTGTATGTGCATGTGTATGTGCATGCAAATGTGCATGTGCATGTGCATGTGCATGTGCATGCGCATATGCGTGTGTATGTGTATGTGTAAGTGTCTGTGTCGGTTCATGTGTATGCACATGCATATGTATGCTGAAATGTATATGTGTAAAGCATACTTGTACACATATTTATATGTGTGTATGCATGTATGTACTATATCCATATATATATATATATATATATATATGTACAATCCACACACACACACATGCGTGTGTATCATGATGCGAATGTGTATGCTTTTGCGTATAGTTTTTACTTTGTTTTTGTATATGTACATGCATGTGCATATGTTTATGTGTATGTGTATGTGTACGTATTTCTATATATGCATATGGGTATGTATATGTATGTGTATATGTATATGTACATGCATATGTATACGAATGTACATGTATGTGTATCTGTATCTGTATGCATATATATATATATGCCTATATCCGCACATACATACACAAGTAAGTATCTCTTTGTCTAGAAAAGAATTTATCGATTTTGAACTTGTGGATGGTCCTGAGCTTGCTTGATCGATCCAGGTTGGTCCGTTGCTTGGCGCCATCAAAGACCTTTAGAACCTTAGCCCGACTATCTCCACGAGCATGACGACCTTACGAGACCTTTGCCAGCATCCTGAAATCTAGATCCGAAACATGAGGCTCCAGGGTTCAGGGTTCCCCAAACCACAGGCAGTCGCGTGATGATGGCTGGTACGACATCCTCGTTTTCCACGCGGACCAGCATGTTCTGAGCTTAGAGCAGGCAGTAGAAAGGGTTTAAGGGCTAGGGTTCCAAATCCCTATGAAACTGCTGATGGACAAAATCCTGCATGACCTTTAGGACTCTAAACTATGGGAACTAATTATGGTATATTCCTTATAAAGAGTAATGCAGGATTTTGTCCATCAGCAGTATGAAAGTATGATGCTATACTATAACCCCCCAAACCCTAATAATGCTGATTACGGATGCCCCAACGGTGTGTAGTGGAGGGGCCGATGAGCCATTGGAAGAGAGTTTTGTATCGTAACGCTTCGAAGTAGTTATTCCGAAAAAGGGGGGGTGTGGATGTGGGCCTTATTCAGTAGCATGAGTTTTTGGAAATTAGGTTACTGTGAGTACAGAGACTAGAGTATCTCCAGGTCTAGAGCTGGGCCGGCACAACAAAGCCACAAGAAAACCCTAAAATCTGAGACTCCGCCCCCCCCCCCCATCAAACAAACACATGGCTTGTTGTCCGAATGTCAAAGCCGTTGCATGTGGGCGTGTCCTGAGGGAAGAAGCCATTCTAGTAGCATCGGCTTTGAACAAAGACTCCTAAACCTCCTTAGTTAAGGAATGCACCTGGAATCTTATCAGTGTTCCTCTGGTAGTTTCAGGTATATTTATAGGGTATAGTCTTTAATGAATGGGTTGTGGAGTCTCTGGGAGATTTGGGCTACTTGTCTCCGAATCCAACTCTGCGGGTCTGTCCGTGTAGGGTTTAGGGCTTAGGGTCCGATTCTCTAGGTCAGAGTTTAGGGTGGAGGTCTAAGTCAGTCTTCACAAAACTACAGGATCTTGGGGGGATCGGAGCCCACTTTGGAACAAAGCCCATGTGATTGCGGTGGCCTAGACCCGTATATAAACTCTTCGCGTTAAACTTCACAGTCTGAAGAGCAATGCAGTCCTTGTCATTATTCTCATGGCGGTTAGTACTATTACCGTTACGACTCTTACTCTTATTCTTAATTTTATTATTGTAAGCATGTCCATAGCTGTTCTTAATATTTTTACTGTCGTTTATGTAAATAGCATATTCATCACTCCTCAACGCCAGGCCAGAGGGCTTGCGACCCAGAAAAAGCCTCAACCCAGGATCCAGGGACGAGGATTGAGGGTTTAAAGGCTTCGGGTTTAGGGTTTAAAGGGTTCAGGTTTAGGGTTTAGGGGTTCGGGTTTAGGGTCTAGGATTGCGGGTTGCGGGTGTGGGGTTAGGGTTTGGGGTCCAGGATTGAAGGTTGAGGGTGTGGGGTTTGGGTTTGCGGGCAAGCCACCGCATGCCCGCCATCCTAAACTTCATCCCTTTCCGACATTCCCACGTAGTATGGTTAGGTCGGCTAGGTTTTAGGGTTTGAGTTCAGTCTAACCTGCAAACTGTACCGGGCTCAGGCACACTGGCCGTATCACGTTAGGCTGTCTGAAGTGAGACCACAACCCGCAACCTCAGACCCAGACCCTCAACTTCAACTCTATAAATTTTGTCAGTGACGAAATCCCCCCTAAACCCTAAACCCTACACCCTAAGTACTTCCACCTTGCAGAACCCTCCCAATGCAGCTTTTGCTCTCAGGTTCATGTGGAGGTCTTTCAGCAGAGTCTCACTTCGCAGGGAGCATCCTGTCGGCATGTCTCTTCCGGGGCCGCAATTAAGGAATATACCTTAAACCAGAAGGGGGTAACTATCATGATTTAAGCTATATTCCTTACTTACGGGATATACCTTAAATCAATAAGGGGGTTAATCTTATGATTTAAGCTATATTCCTTAATTAAGGGATATGCTTCGAGGGTAGGGTCTTCGCCGCCTCCTCTTCCTCCTCCTCTTCCTAGTACTTTGAGGACGACGGCTACTACTTAAAGGATCACGGGACTTAGCAACTAGGGTTATCATTATGGTAACTATGCTTATGATTACTTGTAACCCCAATTAAGGGACTTATAACCATACTTACTAAGCCCCATGATCCTCCAAGTACTACCGCTCCTCTCACTACTGCCTCGACTCTTACTCTTGCTACGCAAGCTGCTGCTATCCCTGCCAGCGACCACGGCTGCTGCTATACCAGAGGTTATCACCGCTCATACAGTAACATCTAGAAGCATCACTATCAATCTCATTGTTACTTTACTTCTTTGTTGGTGTTGGTGTTATTGCCGCCGCCGCTGTTGTTGTTGTTGGTGGTGCTGCTGCTGCTGTTTCTGCTGTTGTTCGTGTTCGCGTTGTGTTGTTGTTGCTCTCCCTTGTGAGTAATCATACCCGTGTTGTGCTGTTGCTGCTGTTGATTATTTTCGAAGTTCATATTCTGCACGATTTTCAAAAATGACCAGCCTTAGCGCGAGTGTGAGAGAGAGAGAGAGAGAGAGAGAGAGAGAGAGAGAGAGAGAGAGAGAGAGAGAGAGAGAGAGAGAGAGAGAGAGAGAGAGAGAGGGGGGGGGGGGAAAGGATGGTGAACGAGACAGAGAGTTGCAGAGACGCGGAGCGAGACAAAGATTGGCAAAGAATCCACCCTCAACCCTAAACCCCTAAAGCCCTAACCCCTTAAGCCTAAATCCGCCTAAACCCAGGACCACCTGGGCGTCGTCAAATCCTTGACTGTGCAGAAGCTCCTTCAGGACGGGTCCACTAATAACAGTAATGCTAACAATAAGCAGTAGTTTCAGTTATAGTGATTTTGGCAGTAAGAATGGTACTCGTTATCGTAGTCGCAATCGAAATGTCAATAGGAATGGTAATGGTCATGGTACTAGTAATGCTCATAGTACTAGTAATCGTAACAGCAGTAGTAACCTACTGGTAATAGTATTTAAAGTTGTGTTTGCATGCGTCCTCATCCAAGCCCAGAACCCTTCCCTACAAGAAGCTTCCGCCCAAGCAGCGTCAAACTGTCACAAGTGCATGTCCGGTTTGCAAAGCTGATAGTGGCGAGAGGGCGTCCTGCGTTGGACATCACGACGGGGGGACCTTAGAGCTAGATCCATGTCCTGAGCACTCTTTTATATAGTTCCCCATATAGTACCCATGTCAGTAACCCATATCGTAGCCCCTGCAGTGACAACGACAATCAGACATCCTAACTGCAACATGCAGCTGCAAACGACTGTATTTGGATCAATCGTCCCAGCGCAAGTAGCCTAAACCCTAAACACTAAACCCTAAACCCCTAAAGAAGAAAAGTCGTGAGCGCCGAACTGAGTTTTGCTTCCAGGTGTCCGACACACAGGTCAAGCTTCATGTTCTGCATACGACTAGATATATACAAAAAAAATGTCATGCAGAAATGAGAATACGAATGCCGAGCTGCATCGTAACACTTGGTCTTGTAAGTGCCATCTCCCAGAGGGTCCAAGTACCCAAATAGTAGGGTTTCAAGGTCCAAAAACCATTCAGAGTATGGTTTTTGGACCTTGAAACCCTAGTATTTCGGTACTTGGACCCTTAGGGTTATAGAACCCTTTTAAGGGGACCCTTAGGGTCTCCCATGCTTCACGGAGCTTGATTCAAGAGTCGTAGGCTGTGCAGGCCCTTCTTCCAAGCCTGAAGCTATCCTTGATCCCCTAACATGTTTAGGGTCCTTAGGGTTTAGGGTTTAGGGTTTATTTAGGGTTTAGGGTTTATTTAGGGTTTAGGGTTTAGGGTTTATTTAGGGTTTAGGGTTTAGGGTTGATACCCTAACATGAGCCCTAAACCCGAAAGCAGCTTAAGCCACCCCAGACGAAAGCCACGGCGAGGATCCAGACTCCTGGTGGTCGCTCACTCCGCAGACTCCCAGGACTCCTGGGGTTTAGGGGTTTAGGGTTTTTTGAATTTAGGGGTTTAGGGTTTTTTGAATTTAGGGTTTGGGGGTTTAGGGTTTAGAATTTAGGGTTTAGGGTTTAGGGTTTAGAACTTAGGGTTTAGGATTTAGAACTTAGGGTTCAGGGTTCAGAATTTAGGGCCTAGATGTTTAGGATTTGGGGTTAAGGATTTGGGGTCTAGGCTTTGGGGTTTAGGGGTTTAGGATTTTTTGGGGTTTAGGGTTTAGGCTTTGAGGTTTGGGGTTGAGGGGTTTAGGGGTGTAGGCTCTGAGGCTGAGGGTTCGTAAGGTAGAAGCCGGAAGGATCATCAACACTATTCCTCGCAGTTCCTTTTTATAGTTATAGTATGCAGTAAAACGCCCAAAGTCCATAGCTTTAATCCTCAAGAGTACTGTATAAGGAATCACAGCACTTTTTGGCCTTAGTCAGGATTCCAACTTTATGGGGTTTACTGTAAGTTTCCTCACAACGGCTCGTGAACAAGATGCCGGCAAAGTTGGTCGGCCAGCTTCGTACCACATGGGTAGTGGTCAAAATCAGGGGCCCTTTTTGGGTACTCGAAATAGTAGGTGCCGACTATATTGAGAACCCAAAAAGGGACCATAATTTTGACAACCACCCATATGGCACGCAGCATACCAGGACAACGAAATCGAACATTAACCGTTTGAGGAGTTTCTCGAGCGGTACCTATGCCGAGTGCATGCTTGAAAACAGTGTATCCTATGGACTGCCTGGCTTACCAATCACACCATGTGGAACAGGAGTTCAATTCTAGTCCACTTCCCTGAGGATCACAGAGCCCGAAAGCCTTATATAGTATGGTCTTTGGGCCCAAAAGCCTTAATATATGAGTCTTTAGATTTCTAGGGATTGTCCAGGCCCCTACATAGGGCGCCAGGGATTTGAGTTCCGGTGTATGCCGGCCCTCACAGGGGCGCAGGGGTTTTGGGCTCCAGTGTGGGGACCATGGAGATGTAGAGCCCTAAAACCCCAAACCCTAAACCCTAAAGCCCTTGAAACCCCAAGCCCTAAAGCCCTGGAAGCCCTAAACCTTATATACACCCTAAACCCTATATACACCCTAAACCCTGAGCCCCTAAACCTCCTTGGATTCTAAGGCTTCTTCCTGGCCCAGGGGCGCTGGAATTCAGAACCTGCCGGGGTTGGCGATTGCCTCTGCAGCAGACCCCACAACCACAAAGCCGCAAACCCCAAGTCCCGAAAGTAAACACCTTTGACTGAAACTCTTGCCCCGGAGCCGAAACCCTAAACCCTAAACTGAACCTCTAGCCCCTGAACCGGAAATTCCAGCATCGTCGGAATCGCGCTCCCGATCTGAGGGTGTTTAGAGTCTAGAGTTAGGGTTTGGATTTAGGGTTTGGGTGATTATGAACGGGGTTATTATGACGGTAACTATACTTATATAACTTATATAACTATTTGTAACCCCAATTAAGGTACTTATAGCCATACGTACTAAGTCTAGCTTTAGGGTTTGGGAGGCCTGTGCCGATGGAAGCCCGAAGCCCTCAAGAGAGTGCCTTGCAGGGCGTTCTAGGGTTTAGGGCTTTAGGGTTTAGGGATTTAGGATTTTTGGGGTTTAGGGTTTAGGGTTTAGGGCTTTAGGATTTTTGGGCTTTAGGGTTTAGGGCTTTAGGATTTTTTGGGGTTTAGGGTTTAGGCTTTGAGGTTTGGGGTTAAGGGGTTTAGGGAAGTTTGTCTTTCTTGCGAGACTCAGCCATCGTCGAAAAGCTTCGCAAAGGGACCCCCAGTTTTAATGGAACGGCTGACATGGACCTTCATACTTTGGAGGTCCAAACAACTAACATCAGTAGCCCTTTATTGTTATAGTCCCTATGTAGTGATATCATAATGTATCCCACAGAGCTATTCCCTAAACCCCAAACCCCAAACCATTCTACTTACTAGCGGCCCAAATTATCTGCCTGTGAAGCCCAAGCGATCCTCTCAAAGCAGTGCTCGCTTTGGCGAGGAAGAAGACGACCGAGTCCGAAACCGACAAGGAATCGCCATCGGTTCATCTGACGCTCGTCCTTTAGGTTACGTATGATTTTAAGGTTTAGGGTGTAAGGGTTAGGGGTTTTAGGCTACGTAAGATGTAGGGTTTGAGGTTTAGGGTTCAGGGGGTAGGGAAGTTTACGAGGTTCTACATTCTCGATGTACAGATGGCTTTCCCTAAACAGATGGCTTTCCCTAAACCCTAAGCCCTTCACCCGAGGGTTTGTGATTGAGCCACCTCAAGTTTGAGAGATAAGGAACCCTCTGGCTTCAGGGCGTAAGGAAGGGCTTGGGCCGACTTGAAGGTTCAGGGGCCGACTTGAAGGTTCAGGGGTAGTTGTAAGTGGGGTTATAAGTAAGGTAACTAGAGTTTCAACCCACTTTTCTCCACTTATAATTCGCATTGGACGTAGTAAGTACAGTTATCCGTGCCTTAACTGGGGTTAGAATTACTTATACCTCGGAATACATAGAGCAAGCATATTCAAACCGTTGTTGCTAAGTCTCATGAACCCTTAAGGAATGTATGGGTCTTCAAATTATCAAGGCCCACATATTAAGGAGCCCCTTCTAGAATCCTTTGTTGTGAAAGTATAAAGAGCCCTGATGGAAACCCTAAACCCTAGGGCCGGGTCTAACATGCTTAAAAAAAAAAAACCCTAAACCCTTAAATTAGAACCTCGTTCTGACAAATAAGGCTGCCATATGAGGGCACACAGATTCGTTTTCTCCCGGTTGCCAAGGAGTGCCCAGTTCTTCTTGCTGACGCCGTCGCTTGGTCGAAAAGTGTTATAGGGGTTTATAATAGTACAAGATATGATAAGATAAGATGATATACAGCACTATGCCATACCCCTGGGGATCAAAATAGCCCAAAAGCCTTAGATAGTATGGTCTTTGGGCCCAAAAGTCTTAATATATGAGTCCTTAGATCCCTAGGGTACTATTTTACACTAGACTTCTCTACAGGATGTAGGGTTTAGGGTTTCGGGATGCCAGAGGCTGGGACTCTGTGCGTGTCTCCTGGTTTCGTTTAGAAGCCTTAGTACATACCACGAGGTTCCTGATGATGATAGTAGCCAGAGGGTCCACATATATATATATATATATATATACACCACTAAATATGGAATTTGGCCACCAAAATCATAAGAAGATGGGTTTTTGGGACCTAATTCCATAGGGCCAGTATATGTGGACCCTCTGGGATAATGCTCCCTCCAAATCCTGTTCTAGTTATGGAGGCCAGCATTCGTGTAGTTCTTTGAATTCAGGGTCCTTTAAATCAGGGTGCCGTGCCATTTTGGGGACCCAAACACGAACCCTAATTCACTGAACCACCCAATTGTTTGTGTCAAGGCTTGTTCTAGTTAGGTATGGCCTACTTCACTGTTTTGTCGTTTCGGGTTCAGGACGGTTTCGGTTTTGGGTTGAGGGTTTAGGGTCGACGGTCTAGGGTATATTGCAAGGTCCTGTGTTGTGTTAAGTGTTCGCTTCTTTTCTTGAACTGGACCATGGCTGCACGCCCAGCGATTCTAGCGTGCCTTGAAATATGACGCTAAACCCTAAAGGCCTTAAGGGCCGCAGGCCCTAAAATATGGCCGCCTTCCGAAGAGTTGTCAAATCCAGAGAATCCAAGAAGATCCTTTACACATCCTTCAAGGTTCAAGTGCCTAGTAGGTAATCATTTCCCTAAGTCTCCTAAGAGGGTCATGGGCTTTCTGGGGGAGGGTTTGGCCTTTGGGGGCTAAGGTTTGGGCTTTCACTACGAGGGTCCAGGAGCCTTAGGGTACACTCCAAACCAGAAGCCACAATGACAAATGTCCTAAGTCCAAGCCTTTAGAGAGTAGCCATTAAAACCCTCACCCCTTCAACCCCAAACCAATAACACTGCACCCTTAAGCCTTAAACCGCAGGCACCTCCGACGCTTTAAGATCACCTCCGGCTAAAGGCCCCAGTATAGAAGCTAAAGTGATTACCAGCATTTTTCCTTAAGGTTCGTATCATGATTTTTGTCTAGAATACCTTCCAGACCCTGGGAAACCCTAAACCCTCAAGGGTTTATATAAGCCCGTTTGGGGTCAGGGCTCAGGCGAAACCCTGACCCTACACCCCTAAACCCCCAAACCCCTGATCCCTCAACAGAGCTTCCGGAAAGCAGGGTTGAGGGTTTAGAGTTTCGGGGGTTAAGCGTGACGCTGTTGGAGGAGTGCCGCCTCTGTCCCAGCTGGGCGTGGGATGGCAAATCACCAGGCTTCCCGCTTCGAGGTTTGTAGGGTTTAGGGTTAAAGGATGTTGTGGGTCTAGGGTTCGGCCTGAACTAGCGGTCTTGATAACACTTCGGGAATTGTATGGCTTGACAGGATTGCATAGAATGGGGCTTTGACAGACAAGTTTGTTTTCAAACAGGGATTCAGAAAGAGTGCCATAAGGGTTTGAGATGGGGTTGTTCACTAATATTCGGGATCCATTTTGCTTTTCTGTGTTTTTTGCAACCTCCATGGACGGCTTCCCTAAACCCCAAACCCTAACCAGACTTGGGGTGCAGGATTTCGGGTTCCCTGGTGCTTTTCGCGTTTGGGAGGTGGTCCGGCCCGAGCCAGCAAGACTCATCTGTAATGTAGACCCCTGCAGCCTTGTCCTTTTTCATGGTTCCCCCAAAAGAGTAAACAGACCGGCTAGGTAGACCTTCTTAAAGAATTCCTACTAAGGGACATAGGTATAGGGCTCTGTCTATTATTTCTAAAAGGACAAGGGTGGGTGACCCCTGCCCTTCACAGGGTTTCTAGCAGGGATCTTATCACTAGGCCCCATACAGACAGAGTGTGAATTCTTCGGCGGTCTAGATTAGCCTCAGGGTTTCTCAGTAGCTGAGTGCATACACTTTACACTTCTTGGGCTAATATTACCCCTTTTTTAAACAAGAAATGTACACTTTTTGGGGCTTATGAATTCAGCAACTAAGGTTTTGTGGCTGTCAATGTTTTCGCGTTTGGGGTTCAGAGTTGAGTGCTCATGCAGGGTCTAGGACTAGATATCTTGGGTCATGGAGTCGGCGGGGGGAAACCATACGCCTAGACCTGAAATGGGCGCTTGAAGTTCGAGAGGGTGTGAGTCGCGGACTCTGACCACTTGGAGTGGCAGGGGACTTAGTATGTAGGGTAAAAGTAGGGTTATAATTGGGGTAACTCCATTTAAGGTACTTATAAACTCTACTTATAACCCACTTACTAAGTCCCCTGCCCCTCCAAGTAGACCCTAAACCCTAAACCCCATAGATCCCTTTAAGGAACCCTGTAGATCCCTCTATGCAGCCTTTTAAGAGCGAGGTCTTGAGGACCAAGGCAAACGGGTGCCTGATGCGAAACATGCAAGAATCGCCACTCGAGCAGTCCCTGATGACATGCTTTGCCTTCGCGACTCTCGCATCGGCACTAAACTAGTTGTGCCAGAAGTCGGGCCACTCCGCTTATAATCACGTGGAGGTGGAGACTCATTTGGCCAAATACAATGTTGAATACGAGGCTGAGTGGGACGGCGTGCTGAACGACGGAACAAAAGAGAAGGCTTGGGATGAGGATTTGGCTGCTAGGGGGTTGGGGTGTAATGTTCAGGGTGCTGTCGTTTGCGTCTGAGTCTGAACCCAGGGCTCGCGGCCGAACCTTCGATAACCCGTGTCTTGATTTTTCTGGCTTCTGATTGCTTTAAGCCTATGGTGCGTCGCACGTCGCAATGTCATATAGGGGCTTCATTAGAATAGTGTTTGAGAGCATATGAGACCATCTAAACGTTCTATGCACTGTAGGGGTCCTCACAGTTTGATTGTGACTTAGGGTGTACTGTGGTATACAAGCGTATTCGGAACCCTAAGCAGTAGTATGTTTAATTCTTCAGGCCCTCAGAGTCCTGTGTCGCCCCGGAGGTACGGCTGAGTATGCGCTCATCATTACATAATCTTGGTACCTCTACGCCGAGCCCGGAACTCCAATGTCAAAACCTGAAGCCCAGACCCTAGACCCGAATACAAGACCCGAATACAAGGATCGGAAAACTCGTTGCAGGAGTAGTACTTTTTCATAGTCCATATTGCAGATATGCGAAATGCCCCCCCCCCCCATCCGAAAACAAAGCAAGTATATGTTCTAATGATTAATGTCCTATTGAGCCAAAATTCCAACTCAAAGTTCTGAGACCAGGCTTTCATCTTCGTCCACCTCAGGCGCCAGCCGGTCGGTCCAGCGATGCTTGATTAGCCTGGATCGTGAAAATCTCAGCACGAATTTGATGCAGGGGGCCTTCATAAGTAGAGTTGGGTTTCCGTGCATGTTACAAGCAATACGATAATGACGAGCCCATCATATCACTGCGAACTAATCAGGCCTCGATATTGGAGCAACTTCAGGGATCAACACCATGGTAGCAGTGTCAGTGTTCAAGAAAACCATGACCACCTGCGACATTCATGCTGTAGAGCTCGATTCGCTGCAAGCGTGAAGCTTTCAACCCTGGAGGAAGCCGAAACACGACGAACGTCTGTCAGACATTTCAAAGACTTTTCGTGTAAGCCCCTGTCTAACACAACCTGGGCCGGAAACCCCAAACCACAGGAAGGGCAATGCAGGGGCCTAAATGACTACCTGTACCGTTTTGGGGTTCTGGTTATAGCTATACTATCATATTCCCCTCCTAAGGGCTCCGATTTAACTCTCCAAGCCGCGTCCCGCACCAGACGTGAGGTCTTAGGAGCAAGGTACTTGGAGGGGCAGGGGACTTAGTAAATAGGTTATAAGTAGAGTTATAAGTACCCTAAATGGAGTTACCCCAATTATAACCCTACCTTTAACCTACTTACTAAGTCCCTTGACCCTCAAAGTAGGACTTGCAGGGCTTTCAGGTCTGGAGTCAACCTGCGAGTGTGTTTTCTGTCTGGTGCTTAGTAGGGAATGGGGGAATGGATCCCTATCGTAGTCCCTGTATGATCCCCACTAACAGTCTCCATAATCCATTCCCCCATTCCCTACTAAGCACGAGACAGTTTTTTCAGTTTGGGTGTTCGAAGCGCCTGGGTTCATGTCAAAAGACGGGTTAGAGTTTTGAGGGCTTCAGGCTCTGTTGATTGCTTGAAGGACACCAGGGGGACGTAGCATATAAGTCGGGTGAGAGGGCCCAACGATTGCGGTTCGTACGCCTTAAACCGTAACCCACTTTGAGCCCTGTTTGTTGCAGGGGTTGCCGTGGCGTCATCGCGGAAGAGTGCCGCGGAGCAAGGAGCAACGGAAGCCTGGGTGCCCCAAAAGCACAAACCCATGCCCCACACCCTGAACCCCTAAATGGAGCTACCCCAATTATAACCCTATTTATAACCTACTTACTAAGTCCCCAGCCCCTCCAAGTAGACCCTAAACCCTAAACCCCATAGATCCCTTTAAGGAACCCTATAGATCCCTTGAAGGAGCCCTGTAAGAACCCTTACTAAGTCCCCTGCCCCTCCAAGTAAACCGTACAAGTTCACCCTAAACCCTAAACCCTAAACCCTAGACCCTAAACCCTAAACCCTAAACCCTAGACCCTAAACCCTACACCCCAAACCCCAAGCCCTAAACCCTAAACCATTGTAAACACTTGGCGGCCCCCAGGAGCGACGGACGCGGAGTCAGTATTTACAACTCCGCATCTCTAAAAATCGTCACCGTGCCCTAAGGCTCCTAAGAGGGTCATGGGCTTTCTGGGGGAGGGTCTGGGCTTTGAGTGCTAAGGTTTGGGATTTCACTACGAGGGTTCAGGAGCCTTAGGGTGCAATGTGTCCCCTAATCCTGGTCTAATCGACCCTAAAACCTAAACCTTTTTTCCCTCTCTCTCACTCTACTTATCTATCTTTCTATATATACATATGTGTGTTTATACATATATATATATATACACACACATTACACACACACACACACACACACACACACCCACCACATGGGGAGGATCCGCTTCAAATGGGAGGACGCAGAACAGCTCAGTAGCATGGCAGATCAAATGATCTTTAGCTTTACGGCCGGGATTTTGAGTTCAAGGTTCCGATATTGCTCGTCTCACAGTGTAGGGATTTAGGGTTGAGGGGTTGTTTTTTGGAGCGTACGTTTTGGGGCTTGAGGCTTTGTAAGACCTTGTCAGAGATTGAGGTTCCGTTTGCCAGTGTGCAGGGCTGAGGGGTTCGGCGATGGTAGGTTTGCGATTCTAGGGCTCATTGGGTTCAGTGTTTAGGGTCTATAATAGGGGTTTTTGGGTTCATTATGTGCCTGCTTTATTTATTCCAGGGGCTGTGGTTCAAGCTCTCTGAAGATGTGGCATTCCCAGCATGTCGGGATGGCCGCTTCGTGCTCGAAGCTTTATCATCATCATTCTCATCCTCACCCTGATCCTCATCATCGCCCTCGCCGTCACCATCAGCACCGTCAGAATCAGTGAGCCATCGTGAGATCATCACTGAGTTCTCACCGCCATCCTTAGCATGGGCCTTGCGGGTGTCTTGGATTTCGATGCGGGTCCAAACCCGGTGCGTTCAAGAAGTTGCCCAGACATTCGCGAGCCGGCCCAACACCTCAATGTGAACCCTCACTGAAAGGCTCACAATAGCCCACAAGCCTGAAATAGAGTGGTCTTGGGGCCCAAAAGCCTTCATATCTGAGTCCCTAGAGCCGTAGGGTAAGACTTACAACCCCAAGCCTCCAACCTGACCTCAACCCCAACCCCTTATAGCAACCCTCAGAGTATCCCGACCAGTAGCCCATGGTACCCTTGTAGTAAGCCTATAGTAGCCGCGTTTTTGTAGCCCCTACATTACGTGGAACGCTGAAAGGAACCCTTGCGGTACGGTTGATGATATAAATCCTGCAGTACCCATAATAAGGATTATACCATAATGCCCATAGTTTAGGGTCCTTGAAGTAAGGCAGGATTTCTCTCATCAGCAATAGGAACTCAGCCAAGTCCCTTCTCTTTGAAGGCAAGTCCTCCTTCTTCCAACCTGTGGAGGCTTACCTGAGGGTCTACCTAGACCCCCCAACTACTTAAAGGATCATGGGACTTAGTAACTAGGGTTATAATTTGGGTAACTATACTTATAAGTACTTATAAACCCAATTAAGGTATGTATAACCATAATTACTAAGTCCCATGACCCCCCAGCTACCCTTTGTTGTAGCCCCGAATTACCTCTTAATGAGAAATATCAGAGCCTTTTAAAGGGTACTTGGGGGGTCCTGGTAGGCTTTGGGGTTTAGGGTGTGGGGGTTTGGGATTCAGGGTTTAGTGAATAGGGGTTTGAGTTTAGGGTGTAGGGGTTTAGGGTTTAGGTAGACCAGGGGTGTCCGGTCTTGGCGTTCCTGCTTTTGTAGGTTTAGGGGGGTTTAGATTGCACGCCTACATGGCATGCTGTATCTTCGTTCTTGATTTCTTTCTTTCTTTCTTTTTGAGGGTTTGTCGTGCGAGAATTCGACATTTTCTGATTTTAGGGGTCTCGTCGCGCGGTTCGGGTGCAGTGTTATTTTTTTTTGAGTTTGCGCTGGTTGCTGGCCCCCCCCCCCCCCCCGCGAACTTTAGGACCTTGTGGAGGACAGTGTGCCAAACCGTAGTCCCCAAGCGCAAGACGTTGAGCCCAAAACCCCAAAGCCTGGACCCTAAACCCTAAACCCTAAGCCCTAAACCCTAAACCCTAAACCCTAAGCCCAAAACCCTAAACCCCAAACCCTAAACCCCAAAACCCCAAAGCCTGGACCTTGGACCGAAGGCCCCTCCAACTTAAGCTCGTGGTGACTTGGGTTTAAGGGCTCAGAGGGATGAGTTCATGGCGGGGTGAGGATTCAGGGTTTCGAGTCGGGGTCTAGAGTCTAGAGTTTGGGGCTTGGGGGTTTAGGGTTTTAGGGTCCTTACTTGGAGGGGCAGGGGACTTAGTAAGTAGGCTATAAGTAGAGTTACAAGTACCCTAAACGGGGTTACCCCAATTATAACCCTACTTATAACCGTACTTACTAAGTCCCCTGCCCCTCCAAGTACACCTTGAACCCTAAGCCCTGAACCTTAGACCTCGACACCCTAAGCCCCAGAAAGCTCAGATCTTTTTGCAGAATCTTCGGGCTCTGCATTCTGCAGGTCCTTACGATCGAGCAAAGGAGTTGCGGACAGCTTAAATTTGGGCTCAGGGTTGAGGGTTTAGGGGTTGAGGGCTTAGGGTTTAGGAGTTTAGGGGGCTTGGGGTTAGAGCTAGGGTTCTAGGTGACTTAGGGCCTACACTACTAGGCACCTGGGTCAGGGTTCTAGGTGACTTAGGGTCTACGCTAATTACTAGGCACCTTCACGAGCCGCAAGCCCTTACATCCTCAGATCTGTAATCCTCAGGTGCAAGCTCGACTCTTCAGTCCCAAACCCCTAAGCCCTAAGCCTTATGCACCTTCACGTAGGGGTACTTAGAAAATAGTTTTGAAATTTGGGTGACTATAACCCCTAAGAAACAGCTATAGTTGACATTGTTGCTGGGGTCCCAGCTTTAGTGCAGTTAAGGGTTTGGGGTTTAGGGGCAGGGGTTAGGGTAAGCCTTGAAAATCCCTGAAGCTTAAATCTTAAAGCCAAAGTTGCAGACGAAAAGCTTTCGATGGCAGGATGACGCAACAGTCTCCGTCTCGACGCAGAAGATGGCCAATCGTCTGAATTTTGGAACTTTAGGGGCCTGGTGATACTTTTGGGTCTTGGGTTTATGGGGTTCGAGGTTTGGGGTTCAGGGTTTGGGGTTGAGGGCTTCAGGGTTCTGGGTTCAGGTTTATAGGGTTTGAGGTTCGGGGTTCAGGAAATCGGCTTTTGGGGTGTAGCAAGCATGTGGGTTTTGAGGTTTGCCGGGGGGCTGGGAAGTCTGGCTCCAGGTTCCCGAATGCTGTTTTCGGTCATATCTGGAGAGCTTCGTCACCACGAGTGCCTGCAGAAGTTTGAGTCTGGGGATTAGGGCTAGGGTTTGGGGGCTAGGGTTTGATGTTTACGGCCTACCGTTTACACGAGGATGTGGGGTTCGCGGCTTGAACTTCAAGCCCCGATGTCAAGTCCTCCCTTGTGATACGATCCCCAAGCTCCGAACCCTGAACCTCTAGATCCCGAGAGATCAAAACCTGGCGTTCTTCTGGTTGGCACTGAGGACTTTAACTTTTAGGGGTTTCTATATGAACTGTATGAAGCAGGGTAAAAGTTCAACTTTTTGCAGGGCTTCGAAAGTCGGCCCAGAAAACGTCTCTTTCGATGCGATTTCGTCGCCGGAATGATTACCGTTGCCAGTCCTCCGGGGTTCGCCGGGCTCCCTGCCATGTAGGGTTTAGGGTTTAGGATTCATGGTGTTTTCGGGTCTAATGTAGGGACCTGATTAAGAAACCTTGGGCTTTTATTAGGGTTCCTTATAGGTTATATGCCCAGGGTTCCTCAATCAGGTTCCTGCAGTATCCCAAAACCCTACTCTATGCTAAGGTTGAGTCGGCTAGAGAGTGGATAGGAGGACTCCTTGCGCTAGACGGGTGGCATCCGGACCTTTGGTATTCAGTTGAGGTGGACAAGTCCTGGGCCCCGTCAGCTTTTGCGAAAGGTGACCACAAGAAGGTGATAATAGCCTCGTTGGAGTTTCGAGCGGCCCTCGTCGGGATTCCGGGGCGAGGCTGGAAAGACCTCGCGAGCGGCTGTCAGGGGCTACACGGCTAATGAGGAGTCTCAGCTCAGCAGGATCTCTGTGCGATCCGGAACGGACAACTCTCCGTGAGTGGGGGCAAACGCTGCTTGCGTAGTGCGCTGCCGGGCGCCTTGTTCGGAGGGGCGAGCTATTGCTACTGTACTAGCTTCGACGACTTACCAGCTGGCAGTGAACGACCCCTTCCACCCAGGGCTGTGAATGGACAGAGGATCACGGAGGCAGGCAGTTGCCGGCAAGCTGAGAATCATGCCAGGAAGGGTTTTTTCTGGCATGAAGTTCCCGGTGCCGATCAGGCATGGGGTTTCCCTTGGCGCCCCTCTCTCAACTGCTCAGTACTAGTGGAATGCACTTCCAAAAAAAGCCGCACATTGCTAGGAGTCAGTGCGCAAACCCTGCGGATCTAAGGACTCATATATCAAGGCTTTTGGGCCCAAAGACCGTACTATAGAAGGCTTTTGGTCCATTTTGATCCCCAAGGAAAGTGATGCAGGCCCATATGCTAGGCTCAGGGCACTCGCAAAGTCGTACCGAAACCTGTCCTCCGTCCTGAAAGGCCCATGGTCGTAGAAACCTGGAGCCGCAAGCCCCCAGTTCAGGCTTTAAAGGGAACTCCAGAAAGTTGGAATATGGATTAATGGTAGGACCCCCTATAATTTACCTTAAGGGGTTACGATAATGATATTCCAACTTTCTGGCTTCTACTGTAAGGGTTTAGGGTTTAGGGGTTAGGCTTTAGGGCTCCGGGTTTAGGGTAAGTTTCAAGTTTCAAACCACCGAGACATTGAGCTCGACACCTCAGGTTGAGTATCTCTGGGAGAATTCGAAGCTTTCCAGCCACAAAGACAAGTTGAAGCACATCGTGGAAGTCACCGGAATGCCGATGGATGCTTGGCTTGAGCCCCAAACTGTCTAAACCCTAACCCCTAAACCCCAAACCCTGGAGCCCAAGACAGCGCCTAGCCAAGAGCTTCTCACTCTAATATCCCCACAGTTGCAAGGGGGCATTTTTGCAATTACTACACCCTAAACCCTAAACCCTAAATGCAAGCCCTTCCAACTCGAAACCGTTTGGCTTTGGACTCTTGGGTTGGGAGGGACCCTTAATGGGGACGCCTACCCCATAATTTGCTCTATCTATATATATATATATATATATATATATATATAATGGGTATATACTCGCTATATTAAGGGTATATACCTAGAGAGTTTGGGTCCGGCAGTGCACGCTGAGGCAGCTTACTCAACATGCCCTTCAGAGAAATTGAAAGTACTGTCCAGAGGGAGAATATGATCTTGAACAGACCTCTATCTAGCACAAAGCCGTTCCAGGAGACCTTCCAACACTCATGGCACCACAGCAACAGCAGCGACAGCGACACAATGGCAGCAGCAACGATCACAGAACTCACGGGCAGGCTCAACGAGATGCGCTACTGCTGCAGTTGCATCAGTAGCTGTACTGGTGCCAGTGCCAGAACCTTCACCGCCAATACTTCCGCTACCTACCAGAACGACCACAGCTCCAACGATGACAAGCACGGTAACTACCATTACATCTGCCCGGCCCGATGCCAGTGTCTGAACCTGCTGTCTAAATCATAGCCCCTAAACCCTGATCGCTAAACCTTGATCCCTAAACCTCAACCCCCGAGGGCAAGTAGTTCGAAACTGGAAGCTCTCTAGCTCAATAAGTCACACATGCATACACACATACATAATATATATATATATATATATGTATGTATATACACTTTTTGTATATGTACATCTGTATATACATATATGTAGTATGGTATTGTATCGTATCGCACTGCTTTGCATTGTATTGCATTGTTTTGTAACAAAACGTATCATGACATAGTGTAAGGGTAGCGTATGTATGTATGCATGTATGTATGTACGTATGTATGTATGTTGGGCTCCCAAAGCCCTTCCCCGAACGCAAACATGAGGCCCTCAACTCTGGGTCTAAACCTACACAGTAATGGGGCTATAATCATAATAATTAATCATAATAGCAATAATGAAAATAATGGTGCTGATGACAACGCTGACAAGAGTGTTAGTGATGGTGACATTGAAACTGATAACAAAAGTCATAATACTGCTGATGGACAAAATCCTGCATGACCCTGAGGACTCTAAACTGTGGAAACTATGGTAATTTCCTGAAAATGGGTAATGCAGGATCTTGCCCATCAACAGTAGCAAGACTAGTTACTACGAGCAGACGCAGCCTTCCCGTTTTGTATAAGGACGAAATCTCCGCGATCGTGTACCAGCGCCCGACCTTTACCATGCGCTGGGGCCAGCTGATGATCCTGGGTGCCTCGACTCACTAAACCCTAAATCCGAACTCCTAAACCCTAAACTGTAAGCCCTAAATCCCGAAGCCAAAACCCTGAATCTTAAAGTCTACACTCACAGCTTTTGCAAGGTTCAAGGCTTAGGGTTTGGGGTTTCGGGGATCCCCAAAACCGCAGCACCATAATGTATAGTTTTAAAGGAGGTAACTTAGTGGCCTGAACTGTGGGGATGGGGTCTTGCTGTGACTTACACTGTTTTTGCTAGGGATTAGGCTTTCAGATTTTGGGACACCTTCAGAGGTTTGTTTGTGCAAGGCTTCTAGAACGAGGCGTTAGGTTCCTTCAAGCCTGCGTACATGGCTCCACAAGAGTTCCATAGGGTTCTATTTTGGGGCTTTTAGGATTTCAGTGTTCCAACGTTTACGGCGAGCAAGCTTTATGGTCCGAGGGTTAGGTTTCAGTGAAGGTTCTGAGGCTTAAGCGACTCGCGGTTGAAGGTCTTACGGTCTGAAGATTTGGGGATTTGGGAGAGTGTGGCCTTTTTGGGTTAATCAGTAATGTTCTTCCCCCGGGTTGCTCTATAATAATAACAATAGTAATATATATATATATACATACATACATATATACATATGTAGTGATATAGAAGTATATGCAATTATGTATAGTACAGAAGTGCAACACAAGGCCTCCATGCTGTGTTTTCGCGATCCATTCCCGGGAGTCCATATTTGTTCTGCTTGTTTGTCCGGTCCGCCTGTTCTTGGTGCTTTGCAACCATAATGTGTCATACGCGTGCATAGCTATGTATATATGAATCATAGAGATCTAGGTAGAGATGTAGAGAAAGTACAGATGTCTTTTCCTGACGTCTGCAGGGCTTCGGAAGCCCAACCTCGGTTGGGATTTCAGGTTCTTTCGTAAGCCCTCACCCTCAACCCTGGACCCTGTAGCTGGTAGCATACCTTGCTCCTGTCGCTTTGGAGGGGCTAAACTCGACTTCTGATGGCGGGGTGAATCATTGAGGCGTTGTTTTTAGTTCTGCTATTGGTTCTTTTCGTGTGGGCGTTGGCAAGAGATTTCACGTTCCTATATTGTTGGGTCGTATCTTGCTGCAGTTGAGACGGGAGTTTACAGCTCCGCGGCTTGATACTGCACCTTCCCAAGAAGAGCTGTAATGGCGATGCAGTTGCGGCTGCTGCACATCCACCCGTCCGACACCCAAAGCTGTATTGGTGATCGTATGGCGTTCTTTCCAGCAATGCCGGTTTGTTTCAACATTCCATGATTCCTGCGTGCCAGTATTGCCTCAAGCTGCCATGTTCTGCGATCCGAAAGTCAGTGATTCTCCGAATGAAGCTGCAGTCTTTTGCTTTTGTCCCATCTACTTCCCAGGTATCCAAGATGCGCCCCGGCGGCAAGAAGGAATCGCTCGAAAACTGGCTGTTGGGCAGGTAAGAAGGAATCGGAACTGCACCCTGAACCCTGCCAGCCGTTGAGTGCCGAACCCCAAACCTCAAACTGTAAAGCCTAGATAGCTTTGGGTTTGGGGGGTTTGGGGGGAGGATGTGCAGTTTCGGTTTTATCCTGGGGTTTCTGTTCCTGCATTAGCATGTCCGCAAATGGCGGTGTCATTGTCGGCCTGCCGCGCCCATAATCATTAGTGGAGAGGGTCGCCGTGGCATGATTCAAAGACCCGCCATATCACAGTCGTGCAGCCATGTAGTAGGCAGTCGTGCTATGATTCTTGTCAGGAGTACATCACTCCAGACTAGTCTTTGGCGTCCGAAAGAAAGTACTAGTGCTCATATTTGTTGTCATGATTCTCCCTTGTGCTTCTCGCTGTGTGCCTGTAGTCGGACCCCATGACCCTAAAAAACTAAACCCTGAACCGCAAGCCCTGAACCCTCAACCAGAAACCCTGCGCTGAATTCCCAAATCCTAAACCCCGCACGTAGCATTCTGATATAGGGGCGTAATTAATTACCAGTAATATTTTGGGGTTCTTTATTATAAGTATAGTATAACGGGCCCGAAACCTTTTCGAATTGTTAAGGCCCCTTTTTCCTAGCACCCTTGTAGAGCCCTTGTAGTAGCCCTTATGGACCCCATTCACAGAACCCTTTTCTGATTATGAAGGCCCCTACATGACCCCTAAACCCTCAACGCTAGACATATTACCTCAAGTACTTAGATAGCCAATGGGGGAACTTTAAACTTTTTAGCCTTATAGATCTGGTCTATCTTAGAAAGTTTAAACTTTTTTGGGTCCGATTATTGAAGGAGAGAGAGAGTAGCCCGAAGTAGACCCTAAACCCTAAACCCCTAAACCCTAAACCCCTAAAGCCTGAACCCTAAACCCTAAACCCTAAACCCTAAACCCCTAAACCCTAAACCCTAAACCTGAGGCAGATGCTGCTACGGTGAACATCTCCCTGGAATTGCCAAGCCTGCGAGGCGCTAAAAAGTCGTGAATACAGGGGCTTTAACAAGTAGAATAGGGTTTAGGGGTTTAGGGTTTAGGGTTTAGGGTTTAGGGGTTTAGGGTTTAGGGTTTAGGGGTTTAGGGTTTCGCGCTTGTTTTCCGTGAAAGGTGTACCCCCAACCGGCACGAAGAAAAAGGACGCACGTCCGAAGTCTTCAGCAAAAGCGACGTTCGTCACGTACGCGGAGCTCTTACATGCCCACCCCAACGAAGCCACCCAAAGATTCCGTACTGAGCTTAAGTTCTTAAGAGTTTCCGACAGAGAAGCATCTGCACACGAGAGTGCAATCTCTGGTATAGTACTGACAGTACTGTCTAGAGAATATATTAAGGAATACTTGTATACACACATGCAGTTACCTGTAAATGGCTGTAATTGTAGCTTTACAATTACCATTTACCTCTAGGTAAGACTAGAATGTCTTTTGTTTCATTCCCGTAACAGGTGGTATATTACTGACAGTACTGTCTAGAGAATATATTAAGGAATACTTGTATACACACATGCAGTTACCTGTAAATGGCTGTAATTGTAGCCTTACAATTACCATTTACCTCTAGGTAAGACTAGAAGGTCTTTTGTTTCATTCCCGTAACAAGTGGTATAGTACTGACAGTACTGTCTAGAGCATATATTAAGGAATACTTGTATACACACATGCAGTTACCTGTAAATGGCTGTAATTGTAGCTTTACAATTACCATTTACCTCTAGGTAAGACTAGAATGTCTTTTGTTTCATTCCCGTATTGCTGCAGAATGTGGCCCCGAGAACGGCCCTGTTTTGCTGCAGAATGTGGCCCCGACCTGCTTGGGCACACACGAGCACTCGAGGGTCCATTTTTCGATCCTAAGCCTGGGACCCAGTTTAGAGCAGGCACACGAAAAGAACGGCCCTGTTTTGCTGCAGAATCTGGCTTCGGCCGCTTTGGGCACCCATAGGCACCGGATGGTTTAGAGCAGGCACACGAAAAGAACGGCCCTTTTTTGCTGCAGAATGTGGCCCCGACCTGCTTGGGCACACACGAGCACTCGAGGGTCCATTTTTCGATCCTAAGCCTGGGAACCCAGTTTAGAGCAGGCACACGAAAAGAACGGCCCTGTTTTGCTGCAGAATCTGGCTTTGGCCGCTTTGGGCACCCAGAGGCACCGGATGGTTTAGAGCAGGCACACGAAAAGAACGGCCCTGTTTTGCTGCAGAATGTGGCCCCGACCTGCTTGGGCACACACGAGCACTCGAGGGTCCATTTTTCGATCCTAAGCCTGGGAACCCAGTTTAGAGCAGGCACACGAAAAGAACGGCCCTGTTTTGCTGCAGAATCTGGCTTCGGCCGCTTTGGGCACCCATAGGCACTGGATGGTTTAGAGCAGGCACACGAAAAGAACGGCCCTGTTTTGCTGCAGAATGTGGCCGCGACCTGCTTGGGCACACACGAGCACTCGAGGGTCCATTTTTCGATCCTCCTAAGTTTAGAGCAGGCACACGAAAAGAACGGCCCTGTTTTGCTGCAGAATCTGGCTTTGGCCGCTTTGGGCACCCATAGGCACCGGATGGTTTAGAGCAGACACACGAAAAGAACGGCCCTGTTTTGCTGCAGAATGTGGCCCCGACCTGCTTGGGCACACACGAGCACTCGAGGGTCCATTTTTCGATCCTAAGCCTGGGAACCCAGTTTAGAGCAGGCACACGAAAAGAACGGCCCTGTTTTGCTGCAGAATGTGGCCCCGACCTGCTTGGGCACACACGAGCACTCGAGGGTCCATTTTTCGATCCTAAGCCTGGGAACCCAGTTTAGAGCAGGCACACGAAAAGAACGGCCCTGTTTTGCTGCAGAATCTGGCTTTGCCGCTTTGGGCACCCAGAGGCACCGGATGGTTTAGAGCAGGCACACGAAAAGAACGGCCCTTTTTTGCTGCAGAATGTGGCCCCGACCTGCTTGGGCACACACGAGCACTCGAGGGTCCATTTTTCGATCCTAAGCCCGGGAATCCAGTTTAGAGCAGGCACACGAAAAGAACGGCCCTGCTTTGCTGCAGAATCTGGCTTTGGCCGCTTTGGGCACCCAGAGGCAGCATATGGTTTAGAGCAGACACACGAAAAGAACGGCCCTGTTTTGCTGCAGAATGTGGCCCCGACCAGCTTGGGCACACACGAGCACTCGGGGGTCCATTTCCCCCAGATTTCACTCGGGCCTTAGGGGGGGGGGGTTTAGGGTAGAATATCTCTTGTATATTACTGACAGTACTGTCTACAGAAAATATATTAAGGAATACTTGCATCCACTCATGATGTCTACCTGTAAATGGCTGTAATTGTAGCTTTACAATTACCATCTACCTCTAGGTAAGACTAGAAAGTCTTTTGTTTCATTCCCGTACAGGTGTGTTACGCTCCTGTACGTGAGAAGGCAGAAGCTGAGCATTCAGGCTTAAGCTTTTGAGTTTAGGGTTTAGGGTTTAGGGTTTATAGAAATTGTAAAGGGTTTGGGTCCCAAAAACTTTTTGACCGAAACTTTTTGAACGAAACGTTTTGACCGAAACTTTGTGAACGAAAGTTTTTTTTTTGCGAACCATGTTTTCAATTTTCTTGCGGGGCTGCGAAACGTTTTGAACGAAACCTTGGGGGGCTTTGAACGAAACTTGGGAGCGAGACGTTTTGACCGTCCTGGGGCTGGGGCTGGGGCTTGGGCTGGTCTTTTGAGAACCCTTTTGGGGAATGCTATGGGGGGAGGTGAGAACGAGAGACCTAGTCCATGTAAGCTTCAACGGCAAGCTCCTCGCCATCGTGCGGGCTACCCACGCCGCTGTCAAGCGCATGAGGCCGTACCTGCGGCTTTTGGAAGCCGACGTCCTGGCCGGCGCTGCCAAACCCTGCACGGCCTGGGAGATTGCAGTGGAAGACAGAGGCCAGTTTTCCTTACCATGTGGTGGTGGCGGGTTTCAGCGGCGGCAGTTAAGCTCCTTCCCCCTTCATCTACTCTTTGGCGTTTTTCTGTCTGTCTCTACGTTTTTTCCTCCCGTTCTCCCTCTCCTTCTTTCCATTTGTATCCTCTTTCTCTATCTCTCTCTCTGTCCCTGTCTCTCTCTTTCGCTCCCATTCTCTCGTTCTCTCTCTCTCTCTCTCTCTCTCTGTCTCTTTCTCTCGCTCTCGCCACCTGCATTCGGAGGCGCCCAGTTCCAGCGGCATGCAGCTCAGTCGAGCTCCTACAACGCGCGCGCTTTCATGTGCGGCCTGCACGAACGCCTCCTGCACGGAGCGCTGGAGTCCGGTTCCCTGACTCATAATGCTAGGGTTTCAGGGGCGCGCGTGACGGGAAAGTTTGCAGAATGCTATGTGAATCGTGATCCACAAACTCAGGCAAAGGCGCTGTTGTAGGGGGGGGCGAGTGTGAAGTATCCAGTCAACCGAGGTGAGATGGGGCCCGAACTGCGTGGGTGTCTCCATTTCGCCTATGTGGGACACCATGTGCGCCTGCTGCATTGTGAAGGAGTAGGGATCTGTGTCGCGTTCTGAGTTTCCCGCAATCTCGGATTTGGGTGCGACTTTGCAAAACATGGCAGACCGTTGAATTACAGATCTCGTGCGCTGAGGTGATGGATGTGCCGAACAAGTGGGGTTTGAGCGAAAGTCCTCGAGCTTGCCGACACGGTCATCAAGCGATATGATCTGTCAAGGACAGATGGTTTCAAGCAGCCCCCAGGCCATGAGTCGGTTTAATCTTTCTTACACTGTCTGTGCGTTCAGGAAAGGACCCCGGGTGGCGGACAGCCTCGTCCCGCACTTCCAAATGCTGCTGGGGAATGCTCCGCGGGTGCGAGTGCTGGAGTCCATCGCGGCTGGCGCAATTAATCCGAATCGCGTGTGTGGCAGGTTAGGTGTCCTTGTCTTTGAATGCACAACGGAGCTGTTCAGTAGTGAAACTTAGGATGATCGCCTCCTGGCATACAACTCCAGCTTCGGGCAGCTCTGGCTTCCTCCGGGCAGGCATGTGTTGGGCAGCGACGCTGCCCAGCTCATCCTCCCCCATATACATGCGTCCGTGCCGTGCGCCCACACGATCGGAGGTCGGATGTTTGCGTGTTGTGAACGTGGGCCCACGTTGCGGTTTCGCCAGTGCGCCCTGTTGGATTCTGCAGGCGCCGGCCGTGCTCCGTGGCGTTCGAGGTTGCGAGCTTCATCAAGCAAGTGGTGAAGTCGCACCTTAAGAGGAATCGCCCTTCCTCGTGGCGTCGTCTCGCCCGCCCGGAGCTCGAGAGAGCCGCCACGAGGTCCAGGTGAACGTCCCTGAGGAGACAATCTTTGTCGTGCTGCCGGTGCGGTGTAGGGTGCCGCCTGGACTCGCCGCTGTCGTGAGTCGTGAGCACGGCCGGGCAAAAGACGCTGCATTCTTCTCTGCCTGAGCGTTCGCATCATGTTTTACATATGTTTACTTGAGTTTCCGCTTGAATTTGCACGTGAATTCCCCGTTCTAGCTTGTCCCGTGGGTGTTGTGTCAAGTTTATGAGAATATTTATCTAAATTGTTGCTTGATTCGTATCTACATTTGCCGCTTTAGCTCATCTCAGCATACACACTAGTATGATGAATAGTGGTCGTGGTCAGCTTCTCTGAGTGATGATTTCGCAACGTTCGGATTCCTGGCTATTCGAATGATACTCCCGGCTGTTTCGGAGCCGGGGTCTTCTGAAGTATGACCTCATGAGGTTCGGAGCCCATGGTCTTCTTGATGGTAATCACACAAGGCGCGGATCCTGCGGTCTTCCAAATAATAACATCATGAGGTTCGGAGCTTATGTTCGTGTCCCAGGACCTCGTCGTTGGTAAATTGCTCAGGCTGGGCTGAGTGGCTGGGCTGCTGGGCGGCTGGGCTGGGCTGGGCTGGGCATGGCTGGGATGGGCTTTCGTGGAGGGGACTTCAAGCGTCTAAACTGTAAAGCCCTGCCGAGCGGTTCAAGTAAATTGAATTGAACCACCGAAGCGGTTTGCACGCGTGGACATCGAACTCTTGCTGCAACTTTCATACATCGAAGCACACAGATTCCGTTCGACACACATGGACATCGAACTCTTGCTGCAACTTTCACACATCGACGCACACAGATTCTATTGGACACACATGGACATCGAACTCTTGCTGCGACTTCCGTACATCGAAGCACACAGATTACGCGCGACAGGCATGGACATCGAACCCTTGCTGTAACTTTCACACATCGACGCACACAAAGATTAAGTGCGACAGGCATGGACATCGAACTCTTGCTGTAACTTTCACACATCGACGCACACAGATTCCATTGGACGCGTATGGACATCGAACTCTCGCTGTAAAACTTTCGTACATCGAACAACGCAGATTCCGTTCGACACGCATGGACATCGAACTCTTCCTGTAACTTTCACACATCGAAGCACACAGATTCCGTTCGACAGGCATGGACATTGAACTCTTGCTGCAACTTTCACACATCGACGCACACAGATTCCATTGGACACGCATGGACATCGAACTCTTGCCGCAACTTTTGTACATCGAAGCACACAGATTCCGTTCGACACGCATGGACATCGAACTCTTCCTGTAACTTTCATACATCGACGCACGCAGATTCCATGGGACACGCATGGACATCGAACTCTTGCTGCAACTTTCGTACATCGAAGCACATAGATTCCGTTCGACAGCCATGGACATCGAACTCTTGCTGTAACTTTCACACATCGACGCAAACAGATTCCATTGGGCAGGCATGGACATCGAACTCTTACTGCAACTTTCATACATCGACGCACACAGCTTCCGTTACACACGCATGGACATCGAACTCTTGCTGCAACTGTCCTACATCGAAGCACACAGATTCCGTTGGACAGGCATGGACATCGAACTCCTGCTGCAACTTTCGTACATCGAAGCACGCAGATTCCGTTCGACAGGCATGGACATCGAACTCTTCCTATAACTTTCACACATCGACGCACACAGATTCCATGGGGCACGCATGGACGTCGAACTCTTGCTGCAACTTTCGTACATCGAAGCACACAGATTCCGTTCGGCACGCATGGACATCGAACTCTTGCTGCAACTTTCATACATCGATGCACACAGCTTCCGTTCGACACGCATGGACATCGAACTCTTGCTGCAACTTTCCTACATCGAAGCACACAGATTCCGTTGGACAGGCATGGACATCGAACTCTTGCTGCAACTTGCGTACGTCGAAGCACACAGATTCCGTTGAACAGGCATGGACATCGAACTCCTGCAACTTCGGGCTTTCGTGGGCGGGATTTCGGGCTTTCGTGGGGAGGGGGGGGGATTCTGGGCTTTCGTGGAGGGGACTTCAAGCGTCTAAACTGTAAAACCCTAGAGTCACCTGCCAACCGGTTTAAGTAAATTAAATTGAACCACCGAAGCGGTTTGAGTAGATTGAGCCACCCGCCGAACGGGTTTAAATAAATTTTCAGTTGAGTCGCTGGAGCGGGTTGAAGGGTTTCAAGTAAATCCAAGTGGTGAACCCCGAAGGAGGGGTCGAGTCAATTGAAGTGACGAACCACCGAGACTTTGGTTGAAGGCTTGAGTGAAATTGCTTTATCAAGTAGATTCGATTTGGGGGTTGAAGTGCTGGGCTGCAGCTGTAGCTACAAACAAAGACAAGCAATTTCTATTTATCATTTTCTTGAGGGTTTAGGGTTTAAGGTTTAGGGTTTAGGGTGTAGGGAAAGGGCTTTAAAGGGAACTTCAGAAAGTTGGAATATGGTTTCATGGTAGGATCCCCTATAATTTGCCTTAAAAGGGTTACGATAATTTTAAAGCAAAAGCCAGAAAGTTGGAATATGGATTAATGGTAGGATCCCGTATAATTTACCTTAAGGGGGTTACGATAATGATATTCCAACTTTCTGGCTTCTACTGTAACAAGTAGAACAGGGCTCCTTTAAAGGGGTCCTTTAAAGGGCTACTGTACTGCGGTAGGACGAAAGTTTGACCTACTCGTTGTTTCGTCGAACACAGCCCCCCATTCCCCCAGAGATTCCTCATAAGCAGGGCCAACCGGCAACTCCTCCGGAACATTATAGTATACTTTGAAAGCGGGGTATAAAATACTCCTCTGACCAGGCCACGTAAATCGCACTTTTCGGTACTCCGCTACTCTGCAAGACGTCTTAAGACAAGACAGATTCAGAAGGTGGGATCTATCAGCGTACTATACCATAGGCGCCTTGAAATAATTAGAACAAGGCTTTGCGGCCCACTATACTATGATTATAACAAGGATTCCCCAACATACCCTACATTAAGTGGTTGTCAGGGTTCCAAACGCGGTTTAGGGTTTCAGGTATAGGGTTTGAGGGTTCAAGGGTTAAGGTTTAGGAAGTTTAGGGGTAAGGTCCGCTTAGGTCTTGGAATTAAGGCCGTGGGGGCCGGGGTATACGGTCCGGGGTAGGTGCCGGGAGTCTTTTTTAAGGGGTCTGGTGAGATTTTGAAGCATGAACATGTCCAAAGCCAAGAGACGGTTCCTCATCATGATTTCGATCGAGGCTTCAATGTTTACAGTAGATGGATTTTGTGTTGAGGAGCGGGGCTTTGGAAACCGGGGTATGTATTCTACTTGCTTCGGGATACAAGGTTCTCGCCCCCACATCCCTAAAGCCCTTAACCCTAAACGCTGGAACCCTAAACCCCTAGAGCCCTTAAAACCCCTAGAACCCCCGAAACCTCCGGAACCCCCCCAAACCCCTAGAAGCTCTAAACCCCTACAACTCCGAATCCCCTCAAGCCCCGCAGCATGGTTCCCGTGGCAGGTGTCAGTTACGCTTCCTTGGAGCCGCTCGCCGGCACTCTGAGACTTGGGGGTCTAGGGCTTTAAGGGTTTAGGGTTTAAAGTTTAAGGTTTAGGGTTTAGGGTTTAGGGCTTTAAGGGTTTAGGGTTTAAGGTTTAGGGTTTGGGGATGCATGGCTTTGGGTTTGGGGCATGCGGTTTAGCGTTTAAGGTGTAGAACCCGTGTTAAACTCGAACCAAGTTTGAGCATTGGTGTCAAGCTCTCGTAGACAAGCCGTGCATGCGCCCGATCAAATCCCTACTTGCTTCGCGTCCTTATATCAACGGTTGAAACCATGGGCCCCTAGTATGGGCCCTTAACTTTGGGATCCTTAAATACCTACCTACTTGTACTATATACCCTATATAGACTCTTAAGGGTCCCTAGAACCCCCTTAAACAGGCCTAGGGGTCGCCCATACTTCCTTAGTTGTTAGAAAGAGCCCTTACCTGGACCCCAAAAGTATGAAGATTAGTTGCCTTTTGTAGGTTTTGGGCTATTATTGTTCCTACTTTGGGGGGTTTAGGTAACCCTAAAAAAGCCCTGACGCACGAAAGCCTTGAATCCAAGGCAAAACTGCTGCTAGGTTTCACGGTTTTGGTTTTGGGGTTTAGGGTTTAGGGCTAAATACTATAGAGGAAAATCAATTTTTATTTTTGTTCATATAAAACCCAAGAGAATATTCACCAGATTATTGTTATTATGGTTCTAAGCGGGGTATAGAATATAGGGGTCGAGTAATTCGTAACCCCAATCACTTATAACCATACTTACTTGGTCCCATTATCCTCCAAGCACGTCCGGTACATGTTTCCAGAGTTTTGGGCTTGCTGCAGGGCTGCACTATTTTCACAGTTTCCCTTTGTGCCCGATATAACTATACTAACTAATTATATTTATACTAATTATAAGTATACTAATTACAACTATACTAATTGTAACTATACTAATTATACTTATACTAATTATAATTATACGGTGAAGTCACCGTGCTAGAATGCAGCTCACAACTCTTTTCTATCCATGCAGGCCCCTGAGGCTCTATATAATCCTCCAAGACAACTTACAGAAATCTATTACCTAAAGGGTCCCAGGTACTGTTATGGGGGATACTGCCCCAAATCATCATGGTAATTCCTAATATAGAAACCCTACATTCTACTATATAGGTACATTGGACCCTTTGGGTTATAGAGCCTTTCACCAGGAGGCTACATGTTCGGGTTACCCTAAACCCCCAACCCTAAACCCCTAATCCCTAAACCCCTAAACCCCTCAAGTCACGCTGAAGTTTCACCGAGGCAGCCAATCACGTTGGAAGACCTCATGGCTCAGCCAGAGCCATGGCGGCCTTTACATTTTGCAGCATGCAGGGCTTTGTGCCTAGCGTCTCGTGGTATAGGGTTTAGGTTTAGCGATTTAGGGTTGAGGGATTTAGGGGTTCTTGGGGGTTTAGGCTTAGGCTAGGTTTTTCTGAACCTAGGGGGTTTTAGCAGTTCTGAGTGCTTTCCGGTTTTGGCTGACTTGTGCCATCTCGGATGATTTTGTCTTCCTTGCGGGCAAGAGCAACTTAAACGTTTAGGGTTTAGGGCCTGGGGTTTAGGAATTTCAGGGTTTAGAGGTTAGGGTTCATGCAGGGTTCATGGCGCCACCACAGCACGGCAGTGTCGAGAAAGCTCTTCGCAGCTTCTCGTTCCTTTAGTGCAACAGTATAGGCAAATTCCTTGGCAGTGCTGTGCTGTGGCTTCTTGTTGTTGTTTTGTGTGTGTGTGTATATGCGTGCACATGGAGAGATCCAGGATTCTGTGGCCTCTACATGCACCTCCGGCACACCTGCAGCCCAGACATCAACTCCGCCGCCCAAAATCGACCGACACCCGACATCCCAACCCTCGAACCTAAAAGCTTAAGGCTTAAGGTTTAAGGGTTTAGGGGTTTAGGGTTTAGGATTTAAATTTTCAGCTTTAAAGAAGTTCCCTACTTCAAGCATCCTAAACCCAATCGACAGGCTCCCCCTCGTCCTCCGAGGATTGGGTCATGGACCGACATCTAGTTCTCAAGCCGGATCTTGCCATGTCAGGCCGCCACCCTCATGTAAAGGACAGCATGATGCAAGGTCATGTAGGTTTGCTTCACTGAATATAAGGCTCGTTCGGAATTTTGTGAGTGTATACTTCGGGTATCTAATTCAAGAAGTTACAAGTAGCAGCAAATTCACTACTTCACATGGACTGACTAAGGAAGTTGTAGGAACGGCCGGAAGCAGAGTATCATTTTGGTTGCCGTTTTCGCACCACTTATGACCTACTTACTATGTCCAGGGCCAAGGTTAGAGGGTTCACAGGGTTTTGGCCCTAACAGAAAGCAAGGGTCGGAAGAATTAGCAGTTGGTTATAGTGCCTTCTATGACAGAAGCAATTGTAACACAACATGCCCCGAAAAAGCCTTGTTCTACGTTCTAGGGCCTCCTGCATTTCGACTCTCCAGTGCTTGATTGCCAAGGCCTCGAGGATGTTAACATGCGAGTTTCGGAACAAGGGTTTAGGGCTTAGGGCATAGGAATTAGGGTTTAATTCGGGCTTCGTGCTTAGGGTTTAGGGCATAGGGTTTTCGGTTTAGGGTTTAGGGCTGTCAGAGTCCTAAACGCTAGGCTGTCAGAGTCCTAAACGCTAGGATGCTTACTCAAAGACAGTAAGTACACTCCCCCAAACATGAGCCCCTAATTCTCGGAAAACCCTTGTGCCTGTCTTGCCCGATAGCAAAATTCGGAGAAAGTTGCTGGTTTTGGCACGAGGGTGTGCAAGGGGTGTCTCGCCGCCAGAAATCATAGCATGACAGCACAATCATCGGTAGTAATGTCGTTCCCCCCAAATATTGAAAATTAGGCCCTTGCTCTTTTACTCAACAGTGTATTCCTGTCATTGTGGTGTAGCATACGAAACAAAAGCTTGCTGCCTAAGCCCTAAACCCCAAGCCAAGAGCCGCACATTGCCGACAAGGTGGGACCATCATGCACACGGACAGTGTGGCCCCTCGCCAGCAGTTTGAATGTGCCTGAACTGGCAGACTGGGAACACAAGACAGGGTGCATAATATGGGTGGTTGTCAAAATTATGGTCCCTTTTTGGGTCCTTATTTCAATACGGCACCTCATATTTCGGGTACCCCAAAAGGGGCGCCATTATTTTTGACAACTACCCATATAGGGGCCTTATTAATTGCCTATACTATTTGGGGAGTTCCTTAACATAGACGTAGTATAATGGGCCCCAAAAACCCTATTCCAACTATAGGCTCCTACAGTATGCTGCCCTTATGGACCCCTTATAGTAACCCTTATATAGACCCTTTAAAGGAACCCAACAGCTCTATTCTAATTATTAAGGACCCCAAATTATCCACACTCAGCTCACAAGCTCAGACCTTTTTGGCATGCGGCCGTTCATCTTCATTGGTGTACCTTAGGGATTAGGGTTTAGGGTTTAGGGTGTCGGTCCACCTCACCTTCTGGCGCCCGCTGGAGCTCATAGCGATCGGTGTAACCCTATTCGCAAACTGAGGCTTGCTCGGCGTTAGGATTCGGGGTCGAGCGCTCGCATGCATAGGGGCGTCGACCAACTTGCCGGCTTAGGGATAATCTCATGCATGCCCCTCCCTTCCACGGTCTTCGATCACTTCGGTGTTCAATATGTGTCACGGTCGCGACATTGCGGGCTATCTATGGTATGTGATTGTTGCAAGAGAGATGCCCTGCCAAAGGGTCTGCCAAACAGCAGCATGCACAACCTGAAGCTGTAAGGCCGCAACACCTTCAACTGAACACACGAAGGAAGCAAGAGGTGTATATGCGGTGTCTGTTTCTGGGTTGAGTATCAGAGCCCTGAAGGTTTAAAGAGTCCATTGACGGTGCAGTGATTTGTCGAAGCACCATGCTAGCAGCATCCAAGTAACACAGACCTTAATTACCTGCAAGAGCTAAGGGCTGAGTACCTTCAATACCCGAATGCCCTACATACAAAACCCGCAGCACCTTCAACGCCCGGTTTTTGGGTGTAGATGGGGGTTGCACAGGCCTTCGGATGTTTCCGTCTCGGGAAGCTTCCAAACCCAAGTTATATTCCAATAATCTTGAACCCGAACCCTAAACCCCTAAACCCTAAAACCCTAAACTCTAAATCCTAAACTCATGAATCCGATGCCCTTCATTCATGGCCCTTTGACATTAATCCCCAAACCCTGGGATCATGGGACTTAGTAAGTATGGTTTAGGGTTCCGTTTAAGGGTATTATCGGGTTCTATAAATAGGGTTCCTTAATAAAGGGATCTATAAAGGTTCTATAATGGGGATCATAGGACTTAGTAAGCAAGGTAATAAGAGTCATAAGTCTACGTAACCACAAGTACAGCTTCTCTAATAATAGCGGCAGGTACCGAGTCCCCATGCATGCTCCTTTAACTATGACATCTCTTAAAGCCGTACGCCCTGCAATAACTATAGGGCAGCCTCGGCCCCAGAAAAGGAACCCTAATATTTAAGAAGAAGACCCACCAAAACAAAATGAACACCGAAAACCCTGAACCCTCTAACTCCGGACAGCCCTCGAGGAAGTCAGTCGGTTTTGTAAGATCCTACAAACAAAAATACAAAAGTCTATGTTGTCTTCAGGAGTATCCAAAAAGCCCTGCATCTTTAACCCTAAATCCTAAACCCTAAACCTCCCGGAAACAAAACCGAGGAACTGAATGCTCGCTTCAAACTCCGCTGCGTCTCCATCCGGTAGCGTTGGGACGGCTACCGGGGACTTCGAGTTTAGGGCTTAAGCCCTAACCCTAAACCCTGAACTCCAAAGCCCTAAGTTCAGGGTTCAGGGTTTCAGGCTGAGGTTACGGGATTCGATTGCTTGGGAGCTTTTTGCGGCTTTTCGGATTTACCCGAACTTCAGGTGTGGGTTTTTATGGGGTTCAGGTAGGGTCTGTTTAGGGGTACTTTGATAATCATGGCACTTAGTAACTACGCTTATAACTACTTAGAACCCCAATTAAGCTACTTATAGCCTATTATAGCACCTTTTGAGGTACCGAATGATAGAACTCTATAGTACCCTTAGAAGGAGCCCTAAGCTATATTTACTAAGTCCCATCGTCCTTAAACCCTAAACCCTACAGGCGTAGTTCGCTTTTTTAGCGCCTGTATGACTTAGAGGGCCCCCTCCACCCAGGCCTGCAGGAACAATGCGAGGTTGCCCCTGAAAGGCCAGAGGGTCGGCTTGAGGGTTTAGGGTTTAGGGTTTACCAGGACCCCCCAAGTACCCTTTAAAGGGCTCTGATATTTCTCATTAAGAGGTAATGCGCTAAAAGGTCGTGAATACAGGGGCTTTAAAGGGAACTCCAGAAAGTTGGAATATGGATTAATGGTTGGATTCCCTATAATTTACCTTAAAGGGGTTACGATAGTGATATTCCAACTTGCTGGCTTCTACTGTAGGGACGTAGGTTTAGGGTGTTGGGTTCAGGTTTCAGGGTTTAGGGTTTAGGGATTTCGGGGTTTGAGGCTTTTTCGTGGCAGGGTGTTCGGGGTTTTTTGGGTTTAGGATTGGAGGCAGTTTTCCAACGGCTGCTTGGTGCACATGTCCTCTTTGTTCCGTGCCACTTGCTTCGAAAAGTACGGGATTTAGGGTTTAGGGGTTTAGGGTTTAGTCTTCTTGGGCTGCCGTGCCGCGACAGCCCAACCCTCATGTACGCGAAGGACGCCCGCAGCTTGAGAATTAATCTGCTGAAGTCTCTTAGTCCTAATCCTAACCCTAAACCGTAAACCCCAAACCTTAAACCTTCAACCCTAAACCTTGAAGCCCCAACCCCCGAAACTCCCCAGCGCTACGCGACCCGACGACCCTCTAGCCTTGAATCAGAAGCCCTAAACCCTAAACCCTCAGCCCCAGACCCCTAGACACTCAACCCCTAAATCCTAAACCCTAATCCCCCAAACCCTTATAAGCCCTAAGCCCTAAACCCCAAAATAAGGCCCGAAGTCCGTCAGGCGAGCCGTTTCCGTCTCACCAGAATATTCAATGCAGCCAGCCCAGACCTTCCAAAACCCCTTAATTAAGGAATATACTTTAAAATATAACAGGGTCCCTAGTATGATTTAAGGTATATTCCTTAATTAAGGGATTTTGGAAGGTCTGGGAGGCTGCGAATCGCAGCAGATTCGGGATGGGGATTAAGGACCTCCTGTGATGCTGCGGTGCTCGAGCATATGGGGGTTTCCGAAAAGAGGGGACCCTAATGTAGTACCCTAAATTTAGTAGGATCCCTATTATAAGGACCCCCAAATAAGGTACCCCTATTTTCGGAAACTCCCATATAGAGAGGATACTGCAGCAAGCATTTGCACTTCTGTGTCTTGTTGGTCTGAAGTTTTCGGTTTAGACCCCTAAACCCTAAGCCCCTAAAACCTTAAAGCCCTAGACCCTTTCAAAGCCGCCTAGGGTATGTAAGGCACTGCCTTAGGTTTCGGGTTTGGGGTTTAGGCTCGCGCTTGGGGTTCGGCACGTTTGGACTTCAGGGCGGAGCTCGAAGGGAACGCGCGTTTTAAGGTTCAGGTTTAGGGCGTGTGGATTTGGGGTGTAAAGTTTAGGCTGTAAGTAGGGTGTAGGAGTAGGAGTCAAGTCGGGGTCATGGCAAATGGGAGTCGCAGCAGGGAATTCCCACTGCAACTATCTCAAGATCTCCTTCCAACCTCCCAGAGCAAGGGAGAAAGATATCACTTTAGTACAGATCCAACACATGCACTGTAGAACGTCGTAATGGTAGAAAGCGAGCGAAAGCAAGCGGGCCTGGATAGAGGGTCCAACTATTCGTCCGATTGACCGTCCTTAAAGAGGACCGTCCGGTGCATGCACGTCTTAATCCCAAAGGGCTGTTATTGGGAATACTTCTCCAAATCATAATGGTAATTCCGAATATAGAAACCCTACATTCTACTATATCGGTACTTTGGACCCTTTGGGAATCATAAACATGGGGGCCTTAATCATGAGAATAGGGTTTCGTGGCATATATCCTTTTTCCTGAGCTACACCAAAATGGTACTGGTGAAATTACGTAGGCCCCTATACTATGCCCAGGCCGTGCCGGCCAGCTATGCAGATTTGCAGTTGCACAGCAATAACGCTCGAAGACTTTCCAACATGAGCCGCTTTCCTTAAAACCCCTAAACCCTAAACCCCTAAACTCTAGCTCTAAAGCCTAAACCCTACACCATGAGCTGAGGGCAAAATTGCCAGCGCTTTTTGGAGAAAGGGTGCACCTCAACTTTAAAAGAGAACCCTAAGTCCCGAATGCTCCTACTGTTCCAGCTCCCTCGCCCTTGCCCAGCCTCAACGCGCTCATGCACACAACCCTGAGTTGTCAAGCCTGATCCCTCTCCCTAAGGCTCCATGTACCCATGTTGTAAAGTACCTATATAGGGACCCCTTTGAGGCTTGAGCATCTATTGAGGTACATGGAGCCTTTGGGTCTCGAGCCTGAACCGGCGACCTGAGTCCTTAACCCTTAAGCCCTAAATCCTAGACTCTAAACCATAAGCCCTAGATCCTAAACCCAAAACCCTCAATCCTGACCCTATCAGCCCTAAATCCTGTAAGCCGTAAACCCTATAACCCAAAGGGTCCAAAGTACCGATATAGTAGAATGTAGGGTTTCTATATTAGGAATTACTATTATGATTTGGGGAAGTATTCCCCATAACAGTACATGGGACCCTTTGGGTAAGCCCGAAGCCTAAACCCCGAGCCCCGACTCCAACACGCGGAACCTACTCGCAGGATCGTGGGACTTAGTAACTATGGTTACTCTTGGGGTAACTGTCCTTATCATTTAGGGTTTAGAGTTTAGGGTGACCTAAAATACCTATCACCCCAAATTAAGGTACCTATAACCGCACTTACTAGGTTCCATGATCCTCCAAGTTGGACCTGTGGGAAAGTCTGAGCGCGAGCTAACGCGAAAGCAGCGGCTCCCTGCAGGCAGCGACGTGCAGTTTTCATAAGATGTGGCTGCTTCCGGGGTCAAGGTTGGTTTAATGTAGGGAACCTGAATAAGAAACCCCGGCCCTAAAACCCTCAAAATAGTAGGTCTCATATAAGGAACGCTAATACAGGCCCAAGGATTCTTAACCAGGTTCCTACATTAGGGTTTGGGGTGAGAAGCCTCCTGTAAGGAGCTACTCCTGTCAACCGAAAGACAGGCCGCTCAAAACATATCTGGGACCATCGGCAAGCGGCTACATCTGCGATTGACCGCGCCCTAAGCGGATCCAAGCGGGTATACTTTCCATGACATGTTTTCAACGTGCAAAAAACTGCGAGGAGATCATTGCGTGAGCCCCCTATAGTTTAAGCTACATTAGGTATCTCAGGGTAATGCCCAAAAATCCGAGGATCTACAATTCCGTGTATAGGCCTTCGAACGAAAGACGCGAAGGCACCCGAAGAACGTATGTATGTATGTATGTATGTATGTATGTATGTATGTATGTGTGTATGTATGTATGCGTGTATGAATGTATGTATGCATGCATGTATGTATGTATGTATGTATGCATGTATGTATGTATGTATATGTGCATAGTTGCATATGTATATGTTTGTTTATATCTAGCTAATTATTTGCTTGTTTGTACGTATAGAAATTATTCGAGTATTTGGCATGGTGGGTCGAGTGGGTTTCCAGACTCTGCGCGAAACCCTGGACACTAAAATCCTGAACCCCGAGCCTTAAACAAACCTTAAACGTACCCCGAGGATCCTGAGCGCCTCAGAATAGTATTGACTAGTAATACCCTACTTTCTACTGTATGCTCTGTGCCATCCTGACCTGCAGGCATCTCCCCCAAAACCAAAACCCCAATCCCTAAACCCCAAACCTCCAAGCCCCAAACCCCTAAACCCAAAACCCCTAAGCCTAAAACCCCAAACCCCTAAACCCCAAACCCCTGAGCCCAAAGCCCCTAAACCCCAAACCCCCAAACCCGAAACCCCTAAACCCCAAACCCCTAAGCCTAAACCCTAAGCCCTATAATCCCTAGACCCCAAACCCCTGAGCCTAACTTCCAAACCCGCAGGCACCTCGATGGGAAAAGCCTGGACATCAGCGGGCCTCAGGGCAAAGCCGTCCGCCCAGGGGAGGCTTCGTGGCTGCAGACCGGTGGGTTTAAGATTTTCAAGGGGTTCTTAAGGGTTTACAGGGTTTATATAGGGGTTATTAAGGCTTGATTGGGGTTTAGGGCTTATTATTTAGGGGTTATTAAGGTTTGATTGGGGTTTAGGGTTTATTTAGGGTTTATGAAGGTTCAAGGGTTTCATTAGGGTTTAGGGGTTGGGTTTATAAATGTTTGACTAGGGTTTAGGGTTTAATGAGGGTTCAGTTATGGTTTTGAGGGTTTAGTTAGGGTGTCGGGTTTAAAAGTTTAGGGCTTGATCAGGGTTTAGGTTTCATGTTTGAGGATTTGGGGTTTATGGTTAAGGATTCAGGGTCTTAGGGGATTTGTTGGGATTAACAGGCTTAGGGTGTAGGGATGCCTCTAATCTGAGGCTATTGACCAGCGTTTTTGATTATTGCTCTTTTGGGGCTGTGGTCATCATCTGTGGCATTGTAGTTGCTGTACCCGAAGCCCCCACAGCCCTCAACCCTCAGCGTTCCGGCCCCACTACTATAGGGGCCTTGATAATTACCTACATTATTTTGGGGGTTCAGTATTATAATTATAGTGTGCCTATTC